ATAGCTTGAATATTGCTGAGTACGGCGTAAAACTCAACTCACTCTTCTGTACGAAAATATACTACAGTACTTCGTGAAGACATAAAACAATGGCAGTACACAATACCGCTGATCTTTCTAATACCTGATACTACCATATAGTTGATATAACGTGACGTCCAGATATAAAGCTTAATTTGGTGAGAGAGGATGTTTGGTCCGTGGCTTAGGTGTTCATTATCGGTTTAGGTCTGTACCTATTAATTAATGCCCTGTGTGAAACTGATCCATTTCTTTATCTTAGGCTGTCCATATTTTTGTATGTTTTCTGAGCCTCACATCTCCCGCCAAGAATTTTCATTCCGACTTAAATTAATAAAGTTATTCCTGCTGCTGCTGTGAAAAATGGCCCATCCTAAACGGGGTTAGTTTCTTCATCTGCATTCATCATGCATCAAACCGACTGGAGCTAGTACCAAGTAATCTAACTTTTCAAATCTCATTTAAATACGTTACGCACTTTGTGAAAAACATTATTCATTCATTCACCCGTGAAGGTCCGGGTTAGAATATTGATCTTCAGTAACCCATGCTTGTCGTAAGAGGCGACTAACGGGATCGGGTGGTCAGGCTCGCTGACTTGGTTGACACACGTCATCGGTTCCCAATTTCGCAGGTCGATGCTCATGCTGTTGATCACTGGATTTTGTCTGGTCAGACTCGATTATTAACAGACCGCCACCATATAGCCGGAATATCCTGAGTGCGGCGTAAAACTCAACTCACTCACTCACTCACTCATTCATTGGCCTTACCATACATTTTACCATAAATTTTTCAAATGTCATTCAGATACGTTACGCACTTGATGAAAATTCATTCATCATTCATGTCTTCATTCATTCATTCATTCATTCATTCATTCATTCATTCATTCATTCGTTCATTTATTGGCCTTACCATACACAGATAAGTAACGCATCTAACATGTGAAGGGTTGAGAAGCAGAACGACCTAAGTCATTTTTTGTAGGTTTTCAGGAGAGGCGAAAAACTAGGGTTTGTACTTTTCTTCGATGCTGAAATTGCCGAACTGTTGGCTTAACATTTGCAACATACCTACTGCACGTGTTTATCTGAGACCACCTTCTCCGGATATTTACGATATTTTCCGAATGAAATATATCTGTCGTCTGCTAGTTTACTATGAATGTGAAGAAATGACGAAATAGGTAAATTTTTAACGTTTAACTGGTATTTTTCCGATTCGGACCAAGGATGCATGAATAAGGCATATTTGCAATATAATGCAGTATAGTGAGGTTTACTGTACGATATATTCGACGTACACTGGACCCTCGGGTGGCTGTTTCTTCAGTGGTTGTGTATTTGTCCCGAAGTGTACACAGTAATCGACCATCTCCAATAGTGGGTGTGTAGACGTAGAATTTGTTTCTTGAATTTTGAAGTGAGATTAAGTGCATGCTTTACTGGGTTAAGTGGGTCTCCCAAATGTGATCGAGACAGCGGGAGTTCGGCACATCCACATCGATAAATCGGAGTGGAGATGATGAAAAAATATAGACAGAATTTTCAATCCGGAAGATGACTCAGTCATACGTGAATTCGACACATCCGAGTTCGACTTACAGAGGATCTACTGTATTTAGAGTAGTCAGTATTTATAGATTATGAATACATAAGACTGACTGACTGACTGAGTTTGGTTTTACGCCACTTTTAGCAATATTCCAGCAATATCACGGCGGGGGGACACCAAAAATTGGCTTCACACACAATGTACCCATGTGGGGATTCGAACCCGGGTCTTCGGCGTGACGAGCCAACGCTTTAACCACTAGACTACCCCACCGCCCCGAATACATAACAAAGTGGCTCTAGAATATATGCTTTACAGAGAAACTAATAACATATTACATTTTACCACTTTCTAAAGGCATTGTGTATTCATAACTTTCGGCTATGGGGACCGTGCCTATTTGCACTTGTCACAGGAATACATGAAGTAGACGAGTTGTGAGACTTCAAGTTTTGTGGAAACCGTGGTGATTCATATTCATTATAAAACTTCGTGGTAGCAGCTAGGACAGTGTTTGAATCGTGTATGCATGGAATGCAAATTTTACCGAACCTACCTCTAATAAATCTACATGTATACAGTATTTGTATCTATAGCAACAGGAGAACAAAACAGCTGTGCTTGATAAGGCAATTCGCGGAACAGATTTGCGCCACAAAAGCGATCACAAAAACTATTATCGTGGGTTCGAATCCCGGCTCGTCTTGGTTGTTGCTAGGTCTCGTCCGCACATACACATGGTCGTGGCCTTCGCAAAACTCGTCAATGTGTAAAACCTGCACCCCCAGCTTCTTTCCATGTCAAAGTGTTAAGTCGAGACTTAATCATTCCAATCACTCAGAACCGATGAATATTTCAACAGATAAAAAGGTCTGTTTCTTTGACGACTCGTGAAGGTCCAGGTTAGAATATTGATCTTCAGTAACCCATGCTTGTCGTAAGAGGCGACTAACGGGATCGGGTGGTCAGGCTCGCTGACTTGGTTGACACATATCATCGTATCCCAATTGCACAGATTGATGCTCATGCTGTTGATCACTGGATTGTCTTGTCCAGACTCGATTATTTACAGACCGTCGCCATATAGCTGGAATATTGCTGGGTGCGGCGTATAACTCACTCATTCACTCACTGTTTCTTTGACATTGTCGATACTATTACCGTCTAGTATGAGTCTCTTTCATCCAACACGATGCTTGTATTTAATTGCAAGCAACAGACACCATTCAAAATATAAAGAAATTTATTTCATTAGGTCATTATTAATTTTCATCATGTGATGTATATAAACTAAATGTATAATGAAAATCTTGAGCCCCAAATTTGTGCCCTTAGTATTCTGGCTTGGGTTCTCGGGTCGTACACTAGCTTATTCACAGCCATGTAATAATAATGAGTATTTGGGGAATATATAATAATAATAATAATTGATTTATAGAGCGCCTATTTCCAAAAGATATTGCTCAATGGCGCTATGAAGAGAAAATAACTAGTTAATATCTCAATAAATAAGTACAACAACTAGTATACAAATAGAAACGGAACATTTAATATTCTGTAGGAGATTTGGGTGAGTGAGCGAATTTAGTTTTACGCCGCTTTTAGCAATAGTCCTGCAATATCACATGGGACACCAGAAATGGGCTTGTATACTACCCGTAAGAGATTTGGGGACGAGGGTTATAAGAATTGAGTTTTTGCTCGATGCCGCCTAATGTTTACGTTCTTAATTAAGCAAATTTTCTTTTCCATGTCAAAAACAGACAAGCAGTTTATATTCGCTCGCATCTTTTGTAAATATTCAACATGTCGAGCGAAAATGGTTTTGGTAAATCATGCAGTACATTCAAAGTGTATTTCTGCAATAAAACACCCAGAGGCTCCACCAGTATACCAATTAGTCAGTTCCTGACAGTACAAGACATCTCTCTACAAGTAATCATATAAAAATAAAACTGGAATTATAATGTTCTAAGATTTAATGAATGTTCGTGATACTGATGAAGGCACGTTGCACCAGAGTATATGCAGTGGTTTTGACACAGCGTAGAACTGACATGTTTTATCATCTATGTGTACACGGCGGTCCATAGTTATGCAAGATATCTCTGTAAACAGTTACGATCTCAAGCTATGATTAAAGGAAAGTATCTGTAGATAAATGAACAGTTCCCAGACTGAGGCGTGTAGGAATATATTCCGTGACATGGACACAACGGAGCACTGACATGTTTAAACCGCCTGTGCCCTTTCGTCCCTAGTTGTGCAAGGTATTTCTGCAAAGGTAATGGTAACTGTTAACAAGGAAGGAGAATATATGAGATAAATGAACAGTTCCCATGCTAGGACGCTTAGGAATATATTCCTGTGCATAGACACAACGTAACACTGACATGATATAACAGCCTGTGTCCTCTCGGTCACTACAGTCCGTTTGGCTCAAAAGCGGACCGATGAATTGCAATCTAACTCGAAAGCTAATAAACATAAAATACTCAATGAAACGCTGATCATAATCAAAACACCATACCCACTCTGTAAGGTTTTTGCAGAATTTTTGTCCTAAAAATAAAAAGGTTGTTTAACAAACTATCATTAAAATATTGACACAGTTCACTGTTTTTTACGAGGGAGGAGTGCAGAGAAAGGGACAGCCAGGTGTTCCATGCTACAGCTGAAGGCACTTGGGACCAGAATGTATTTAAGTCATATCGATACAAGGTACCGCTAGCACCAATGTAGCACTTTCTTTTGACATCTTGTAACCATGTCTGTTTCGCTTCATCGCATGAAAGACTACCCGAAGAATGGAATCGGTCCGCTAACAAGCCGATGAGAGATACTGACACTATTCACATTTGAACAATTCCTGTTAGTTATTGTTTGTTTGTATATAATAAGTCTGATATGACAAAAGAAAATGCAGAGTACATTTGCTTTTAGCAATATTCCAGCAATATCACGGCGGGTGACACCAGAAAAGGGCTTCACACATTGTACCCAAAGAATCGCAGAGGTTAACTAAGATCCATGTACCATCGGGCAAGCTGATAATTGAGTATGGCATAAATACAAGATTTTTAAGTAGAATATGAAAATAACGTCAAATATATGACTTGCCCAAAAACGTTTCATAGGAATAGCAACGACAGATTAGCATAGAACGAGGTATGACAAGAGTCATTTTGGATCCAGTAGGAATGTCAATTCTACTGTTCAGAAAAATTGTCAAATATTACTATGGTAATTCTAATGTATATTGAAATGGATCTGAAAAGACATCGTACGCTATGATTAAAGGTCGATTGTGCTCAATTGTTCAAACGTGCACTTCCCATGAAACAGAGATTCTGTTTTCATAGTTTTGTCCTTTGTCGCTTCGAAAACATGTTTTGAGAAAAATTCAAGGATAACATTGTAAAATATGTAATAATTATAATATAACATGCCAGTACAAAAGTAAGATTCATGTCCCATTTGAAAACGTGTCTTCATAACATATTTACATAAATCCTCGAGACTTGTACACATAATTACGTGTCGGACCTTTACACAAAGCGATTAAATCCACATCGTACGATCACAGATAATCCAAAGAGTCTGACACAACACAGGAGGATGGTAGATAGTATAAGCCTTGTCCTTTGCAACCCAAGTTGCAATGAGTCTTTCTATTCCTGATACAACGTGGTACCTCAACGTCATGGAATAACCAGTCTTGACTTTCCTCCGGAACAGGTTAAACTGGACAATTTATAATGGTGAAAATTATATGAATGGATCACTTGAATCAGGGATGACGTCAATGTTCGTGAAACTAGTATACATGTTCTGCCCTATTGGTAAGACATGGCATAAGAGTTTCTTATCATTGAACCAAGGCATCTGGCTGAAGTTACCTTGAGATCTGACGGTGGACATTTTGGGTCACACACCTCACTGGAGATAACGTGGGTCAAATCCAGGTTATCTGGTATTGGACCAGGGTATCTGGTTTAGTTGGGACAGACGGTACCTCGAGATCTGGCTGTGAACATTGGGGTCATACACCTCATTGGTCCTGACGTTGATCTCCTCCAGGCGACGCCCTATGTCTGTCAGCGCTGACTGGTTCCGTTTGACCTTGACCTGTTCCCTGTTGTTCTGGTCCAGGAGCTCCCGAATGGCCATCTCTTCCCGCTTCAGGGTGGTCAGGTTTTGCTCGTTGGTGTCACTCTGGTTCCTGAAGTGGTCGTGGAGGTTCAACAAGGCGCCAGGGATATCGCCTGACGATACTCCACCCATATCTATGGCACTGCCGCGTGGTGGGTCCCTCATGACGTTTGACAACAAAGCCCCCGGGGATACCTGGCCCCTATATCTGCCGCTCCCCACGGCACGCCTGTCATCAAGAATACTCCCAAGGTCAGCAGGGGGTGTTCTTTTTTGCAAAAGCGATAATCGTGATTTATCATATCCACTGCCATTACCAATCGCTAATCTGCCTCCACCAAGTCCTAATCCACTCAATATCTCTTCCTCCAAGACCACTCCTGTCATAACCCCCTACTCCAAGACCTGACCCCTGATATCCCTCACCCCCAAGTCCTCCCCTTTCCATCCCCCTCAAACCCAACCCTGCCCCTCCATAACCTCCACCAACATCCCCTCCTCGACCTCTTAAATGTGCTGACGTCAGTCTCATCCGGGCATGTTCAGGGGTCATTCCATGTAACCTTGACCTTTCACCTACTAATCCTGACCCCTGTCTGAAGTCAACTTGACCAGCTTCACCATCTGATGAGGCGATTTCTTCATAACTGAGAGCCTGTGACCTTAACAGGACGTCAACCAACCAGCCGTGGCCAGTCTCCCTCAGAACTGCCAGAAACTTTCTGAATGTCAATAAATCTCGGCCGCTAAAACTCTCGATGAGGCAAGGAACTTGTTCATCTGTGTCCTTGAACTGAAAACACACCATAAGCAGTGGTGACACAAGGTCAAAGACAGAAAAGTACAACTGCATTATGATTAGTAAAGCACAGCACAACTGGCGCTCAGGGCAAGTCTTGTATGTCGTCTAAAACGGCTTTACCATCCACCATCTTAAATGGTTTATCATCTTAAATTGTAGAATTTTTTTCAACGGATATATTCTTATATGGTATATTGTCCTGAACGGTATGTCATCTTAAATCTTTATGATATGTCGTCTTTAACGCTATACCATTTTACATCCCTATGGTATATCTTCTTGAGCGGTATATCATCTTTAATCCTTATGGCATAACTTCCTGAGCGGTATATCATCTTAACTCCTTATAGCATATCGTTTTGAACGGTATATCATCTTAAATCATCATAGCATATCTTCTGGAGCGGTATATCATCTTATATGGTATGTCGTCCTGAACGGTAATACATCTCCAGTGGTAAAATTTTGTGAACGCTACATCATCCTATAAAGTATATCTTCCTGAAAGGTGTATCATTTTAAATGGTTTATCGTCTCAACTGTATATTCACTCATAAGAGATAGAATAAGTGTGGCTTGCCGGTATCCTCCCATTACCCCTACATCCCATTACCTGGACAATGGACTAGCCCAAACACATGAACACAAGATTTGGAGATGTAGGGGTAATGGGATACAACCGGCTTGCCGAATCACACACGGGTGAGTTTGACATGTTATTTTAACACTCACCGACAGCTGCCGCTTGACGTATTCGCTAATCAGGCCGTTCTCCTGAAGCTTCTCGAGAACTGTGGGCGACAGGACAAGATGGCGGGACAGGAAGTCACTGTTCTTCTGCAAAACGTTGCTCACTATTCGGTTCTCCATGGTTTTTTTCTTCAGCTGATGACAATGCCCATAATATTTGACCCTCGGTTGTCTGTAATCAGAAACATCCCGATACAGTGGGGTTAGCAAGCTTTGGGACACACGGGCATTCCTCCTGTAGTTATAGTCAGGTTTGAAGATCGTTATCGGACGCCAAGGAAAGTGAACACTTTTCTTCATTGCGATAATCTCACTGATACCCCCGTGGGATCACAGGTGGGATATGTGGCCATGATGATGGGACAGTACTGTTCTAACAAAGATTTAATAAACTCCCATGTCGGGTATATAACAACACAACGCATACGCCAATATGTATGGAGAGAGCGTGAAGGTAATCCTATATTCCTGTGTATAGCGTCACGTTGAGGGTCTTAACAGGTGGGCAAGGCATATTCTTTAATAAATTGATAAACAGTGTGTGTGTGTGTTTTCAGATTTGTGGGTGTTAATGAGCATTTCGTGCTCTGAGGTTTCATTTGGAATCGAGCTCGTCCCTTTTAAAAAAATATGTCACCAAATGAGATTGCGGTAAATATACTATTCAATAAATATGTGGTATTTCAAGAGAGCTATAAACAAAATGTGATTTCAGATTTGCGGTCGTTATCGATTATTTGATGCCCAGAACTTGCATTTTCATCCGGTTGCGTCCCATTCATCAATGTTGCTCGACCAATCCTGTTCATTTTATACGCGTTAATAACATAATGTGGTATCTGATTTGCGGGTATTTTCGAATATTTGATGCCAAAAGTATGCATTTGAAACCTACTTTTTCCCATTTTCTTAACCAATCGGATTTCGGCACATGGCCCATCCACGTTATATATAAAGTATTGTAATTGGATGGGACACGTGACACGTTTTCGATTAGCTGTTGTTATTGAATATTTGTTTCCCAATAATTTTATCAACGTTTTTTCAGTCAATCAGATTGCAGCACATGGCCTGTTCGTGTTATATGTAAGTATGGTAATTAGGGTGAGAAGCATAACACGTTTTCGATTAGCGGGTGTTACTGAGTATTAGATACCGGGTTTGCGTTTGGAAGCGGAGTCCAATTCAACAACTGATTTCAATCAAAACGATTGCAGCACTGCGGTCTATTCAGTTTACAATGGGTATAATTCGTGTGACCAAACTAAAAGCGTTCCACTAATCTGATTGATCCTAACCCTCCATTGCAAACGGAATGTCAAACAATCGTGTAGGTACACAGGATGAAACATATGGAAAAGTGGGTACTACAAAACCGATTCAATTAATTGTTTGATTTCCGACATACGTTTAATTAATATGTTGACCTGATGACGTGTGCGGAACGGAAATGTTTGCATGTGGCGTATCGTGCCCACGTGATAATATAGGTCTGCTGGTCTTAAAGTTTGACTCAGACACTTTCTTTAAACAACGCACGAATCAGCGCACTCAGTTTTGCTCTGGAAATATCTTGTTAAATAATTCTTATGAGTAGACCGCAATGGCTTGTAACATAAAGTGAGTGAGTTTAATTTTACACCGCACTCAGCAATATTGCAGCTATATGTCGCCGATCTATAAATAATCGGACTGAACCAGACAAGCTAATGGTGAACAGCATGAGCATCGATCTACGCATTTGGGAACCGATGACATGTGTCGACCGAGTCGGCAATCCTGACCACCCGGTCCCGTTAGTCGCCTCTTACGACAAGCATGGGTTACTGAAGGTACATTCTAACCGGATCTTCACTGGTCTGTAACATAAAACAATGGCGTCAAGCTATATGCTGTCACTGATGGAACCTAAGCACTATATTTTTATACTATTGTTTTGCGTTACAAGACCATGTTGAGTAGACAATGATGATAAGTAATAATAATTCAGTTATAAGGTGTCCGCTATTTCAGTAGATTCGTTAAGACAAATATGGTTTTAGTTTGAATCTGCTGTTACAAGTAAAGCTTGGTTTGTTCAATAAACAGTTGACTCAATGCCCACAAGGCATGCAGTGTTCAAGGCAAATCGTTTTGGAGAAAATCCACGTAAGTTAACAACCTGGTATTACAGCCCCAATGACTTCGCCCTCGCGCTCTTGGGGGCCACTTCAAGTCCGGGTCTAGACAAGGAAATTAACGTTCAGTGCGAGCCTAGGAAGCTGTCTCCCTTAACGTGATAACTTGTTGTTAAATCTTAAAGGTTATGTGAACAAACGGAACTGGGGTTGCATAGTGACTTAGTCTGTCTCACAGTCCCTGAACCACATTATTTTCCCTGCTGCCCAGCCCTCCCTGCAATGCTAAAGCCCTAAATGAAGCAAGTCTAGATTTCCTCAGGTTCTCTCTGGTCACCCTCTGAATCCTTTTTCAATGGTCACCAGGTTTGTTTGTTACTATCAATTTATATATACAATTTAACATGGTTTGATATGTTACTATCAATATTATATATATTCAAAGACTAAGCATTAGTCTAATAGCGGCTTTATGTCGTAATTTCTGTTTGGTTAAAATTAAAATTATTTGGTTTGTTTGTCTACTGACTGATCGAATTTAGTTTTACGCCGCTTTTAGCAATATTCCAGCAATATCACGGCGGGGGACAAAAGAAATGGGCATCACACATTGTAGCCATGTAAGGAATCGAACCCGGGTTTTCGGCGTGACGAGCGAACGCTTTAACCACTAGGCTACCCCACCGCCCCTGGCTTGTTTGTAGAAACAGTGACAGACCCATAAAAAGTACATTAAAAGTAACTAAAGTTTGACAGTTTGACTTGTCATCGTACTCTAACTATCTAATTAACAGCATAAGTTTTCACCAATGCGACATGTCCCTTTTAGTATTCCATACTTTAAAAATGGACGTTCAAGAAGTAGGACCAATACCATAGATGAGTTACATCAGTTTTTGTTTTAGCACAGACACGGTTTGACGGTGTTTGGTGCAGATGCTGAAATAGTGCTAAGAGTTACTACATTTTTTAGTCATTCACGCCCATTTTAGACTTGCCAAGGATTTTCGTGTTGCGATGAGGTTTTCGTACAGCGGTGGTTAACTGTATGAGCACGACTTGCAGCGATCATCGTTATCGGCACGATGACACATGAACCTGATGTTGCCCAGTGATATCTTGATCGAATTCTAATCATTCAAACCAGTGGATAACAGTATGAGCGCGACCGTACACGATGCCAAACAGCCATCACTGTCACGGTTTGCAGCCACCAATTTACACTTCGCCGCTCAACCCGTGAAGATCCGGGATAGAATTGATCTTCAGTAACCCATGCTTGTCGTAAGAGGCGACTAACGGGATCGGGTGGTCAGGCTCGCTGACGTGGTTGACATATGTCGCCCGACCGACCCTTCTAATTTTATTGCCGGTTTTTCTTTCATTCCAACACCGCCGGCTCGAACCTAAAACGTACCGCCTCATCATATAAACTGTTTATCTTATCAGTCGCTGCCACAAGTCCAAAGAACGAGAGAAATTGTAATAAGAATTACAATAAATGAGAATAATAATTTAATTATTATAATTGTTCATATAATTTTGTCTTTATTGCTTTTTCTCCCGACCGACCGACCCATGTTCAGAATTTGGTGGCTACGTGAAACATATAAAATAGTGATGCCTTAACCAGCCAATCCACGCTTCTGTAACCAACCAATTTACACTCCACCGCTCAAAAAGGCATGAGGTCCTGATCTCGACTGAGTCAATTACAGTAGATGGGTCGAAACTCGTATGACAGATATCTCACACCCACACTCCATGTTGTGAAGATTCCCCACCGTAATGATATCTGGGGATCAGAAACACCTGTTAACGTCCACGGAACAGCACCGCGCTTTTACTCAAATCCCAGAAAACACACAACATAATTATCTGTATGTCCACCCACCCCTTTGGGCCCTCATCGTATATAACCCGTCCATTGCCGTCAAACTGATCAATACAGTCAGGCATATCAATTGATTTTTATTGATCTAAGTCTTTCAACGCTACTCGAGCGTAATGCGCTCACGGGGGCACCGGCAAACAGGCCTAAAACACAATCCGTGTCTCATGGAAACCGCCACTAGCGCTGTGTACGAGAATGTGGAGTGCTTGCAGTGTCAATATTGGTTGTACTTGATCAGTTTTTACTTTAGGTATGATCGTTGACCGTGTTTAAGACAGAAAGTTTTGTTGCTAATGATTCATGGCGTTTCACATGACGTTGAAACGATTCATTTAGGAAATGAAGTTTTCGGATCGGTTCAGTCATCAAATCGATAATTGTAATGTTGCCGGAAATTAAATGGAACATTTGGTTAGAAATGTCATGTGCCATGCTAGGCCTTCTCATGACATGCATGTTGACATGTATACCTGCCCAGGTACTCATATATATACGCCAGTCTGTATATGTTTAGTTAACCGAGGACTATACACGTAGATACCTAAACGAACACACCCATTGCAACGCTGAAAGGGCATTTTTAGTGAATTGATTGATATTACTGTCAGCATTGTTCGATTGGAATGTACCCATGAGACTTGGATACGAGATTATATACTACATTGTGACTAATATAACTATATTGAAGGAGGATGGTTATATTATTTATTCAACACCCAATTAATATGCACTGCCTCTAAGACCCACGATTGCATCGACGAGACTAAACCGTTTTATGTAATGCCAATATGCAATAAGTACTATATTATTATAGTATTATTATCTCTAATCCTTTCTGTATGGAAATACCCAAGCCCCCTACAGGTAATGGAATGGGTATTCACTGTTGGTGGTTGTCATTCTAACTCCAGACTCGAGTTGTCTTGTGCTTGTGGTTTTATTTCAATCGTTACATACTAAAGAAGAATTTGACCTTAGAAACTTGGTCAGGGAATCGACTAATCTATTTTGACCACATACCTCGTCCAATGAGTGCGTATCCACTAACTGCCCGCAAAACAAACGTAATATCTCACGCGTTGTGGCCTAGCTTCGCGTTCAATATGGCGGCGATCTGTTTGTTTCCTATCACAACAATGTTGTGCTCGAGTATATCGATAAACAGTGTTGAAGGCAACGGGTACCGTGTATATGTGAGTGGTTTCATTCATTCACCTTGAATGTGATCTATTCACTGTCATGATCAGGCTTGCATGTCCTAACGCAGTCGGCGAGACTGCTTCGTGGGGTTGTCTATAGTCGGGATTACACGGGGTGGGTGTGTTAAAGGGAGGGTGGGAGAGCGGTGCTAGGTGGGTTTGGGTGTATGATTACGATTGGCTTAAACGAGGAGTAAGATCGAGATTAAGACGGGTTAAAGAATGGGTTGGGGGCGGGAAATTAGTGAACGATCGTAAGGGTGGGAGCGGGATATTGGTAAACGATCGTAAGGGTTGGGGGCGGGATGTTGGTAAACTATCGTAAGGGTTGGAGCAGGATTGGTGAACGATCGTAAGGGTGGGAGCAGGATATTGGTAAACTATCGTAAGGGTTGGAGCGGGATATTGGTAAACGATCGTAAGGGTTGGGGGCGGGAAATTGGTAAACTATCGTAAGGGTTGGAGCGGGATATTGGTAAACTATCGTAAGGGTTGGAGCGGGATATTGGTAAACTATCGTAAGGGTTGGAGCGGGATATTGGTAAACTATCGTAAGGGTTGGAGCGGGATATTGGTAAACTATCGTAAGGGTTTTGAGCGGGATATTGGTAAACTATCGTAAGGGTTGGGGCGGGATATTGGTAAACTATCGTAAGGGTTTTGAGCGGGATATTGGTAAACTATCGTAAGGGTTGGGAGCGGGATATTGGTAAACGATCGTAAGGGTTGGGGACGGGAAATTGGTAAACTATCATTAGAGTAGGAGCATGTCCATTATCAGCCTCTGAATCGAAATTAAATGAGTAATAAGTGATAAATTGACGTTCAATTAAGTTTGCGTAGTTACTAGTTAATATTGAAAAGCAAACATTTATGTTTATTGAAAGATATATTAGCGTGACATTGAGGCCTAGACTACGACGCTAAGAAACTGGACATTATTACGTTAACATACTCATACCTTCGGTACTTAGTTACTTTGGGTGATTGTTCAGTCATTTCATGTTGGAACCAGGCTGAGTCAATATTTTCCTCCATATCCGATCCAAACACCTCAAAGAAATCGCCGAGGTCAAACGTAACAGTTTCAGACGACATGTTTGTTTACCTTTGTAAGGGTTAATGAGTGCAATATATTCCTACGCGCAGTGAACCGGCTCTCAGAAGTGGTTATTGAAATATTTTCACTTCTAATTTTTTAGTAACAGCCAATCAAAAACGAGCATACTTACATGTGATGGTAGAATGGTAAATCATCGTAAGTGTAGGAGCTGGATATTGGTAAACTATCGTAAATGTAGGAGTTGGATACATGTATTTGTAAACTATTTAAGTGTAGGAGTTGTAAATTAATAAACGATCGTAAGTGTTGGGGCGGGATATTGGTAAGCTATCGTAAGGATTGGAGATGGATATTGGTAAGCTATCGTAAGTGAATGCGCTGGATATTGGTAAACCATCATTAGGATAGGAGCTGGATATCGGTAAAAAATTAAAAGGGTAGGAGCTGGATATCGGTAAAACATCATAAGGGTAGGAGCTGGATATCGGTAAACCATCAAAAGGGTAGGAGCTGGATATCGGTAAACCATCAAAAGGGTAGGAGCTGGATATCGGTAAACCATCAAAAGGGTAGGAGCTGGATATCGGTAAAACATCAAAAGGGTAGGAGCTGGATATCGGTAAAACATCAAAAGGGTAGGAGCTGGATATCGGTAAACATCAAAAGGGTAGGAGCTGGATATCGGTAAAACATCAAAAGGGTAGGAGCTGGATATCGGTAAAACATCAAAAGGGTAGGAGCTGGATATTGGTAAAACATCATAAGGGTAGGAGCTGGATTTCGGTAAAACATCATAAGGGTAGGAGCTGGATATCGGTAAACCATCAAAAGGGTAGGAGCTGGATATCGGTAAAACATCAAAAGGGTAGGAGCTGGTTATCGGTAAAACATCATAAGGGTAGGAGCTGGATATCGGTAAACATCATAAGGGTAAGAGCTCGTTATTGGTAAACTATCGTAAGGGTTGGAGCTATATATTGGTAAACGATCCTAAATGTAGGAGCTGGATATTGTTAAATCATCGTTAGTGTAGGAGCGGGATATTGGTAAACCATCGTAAGTGTAGGAGCGGGTGATAGGTAAACCATCGTAAGTGTAGGAGCGGGATATTGGTAAACCATCGTAAGTGTAGGAGCGTGATATTGGTTAATCAATCGTAAGGTTTGGAGCATTGAAAAAGAGAACCTTTAGAGTCAGAAAAGAAGGAGATGGGACAACTCGCCAAAAACTTTATCCCGGCAACTTGTCTTAAAAGGGACATTTCACTCTTTTATAGACCAACGCATTTGCTTTTTCTGTGACTCATGTTCCCTCGCTAACTGTCGGAATACGTTACTGATGTTAAAAGATTTATCCTTCTTCCTCAGAGAATGTTTATTTTGGCCTTGTTCATGTATGTTTTGGCATGGAACGTGCAGGCGTACCTAAATATTATGCCATTCTCGTCATAAGGAAATGTCCATAAAAACATAAATCAAAGTATTGTGGCCTTACGTACGCAAATATTGTCTTGGCCACCAGTCTATATTACGCGAGTGCCAGAGATCGGTCTCTGCATTCACTGCTCCGACAGTCACTATCACTCCCGTCTGCGGACAAATTGTGCAAAATTGTCTATATGCTCTATCCATAATTCCAATAATATTTATCAGACAAACATATGTATCACCCGGCCGCTGAAATCTGTTTGTTTGCTAAGTCTGGATCGCATCGACCTACTGGAGGCGTGACCCGTCGCCTGCAGCAGGGTAACCGTCATGTTGAAGTGGAAGAGCATCGCCACTCTGGGGTGACATAAAGCGTTTATTTCCCAGGAACTGGTAGGGACAATTATTCCGAAAAACTCAGCAGAGAGCAATTACGGTCATATTACGTAGATCAAAGGATGGCAGTCTATCACCTAATGCTAGTTCGGCTAGCTCTTTACTCCCTCGTCAGATCCTGTCGATGTCGTATTGAGAAGAGTATATATAGTAGTGTATAGGCATTGTGTGTGAGCTGACGATGCAGTAGGCTCACCCTCAACGTCGCAGATAGTGTTTATTTTCCAAATATCACAGCTGATCTAAGGAGTTAAACAGCTTTGAAAATTCATAGCAATGATGTCGTCCCGTAAATAATATTGAATTTGGTAGTTCTCACACTCCCGTGGTCGTGTTATCGATTCCAATATCATCAAAATGGGAATACTGTATGTGAAAGGCATGTTGCTCCCCCAGAACAAGCCAATCGCGAAAAATGATTCGACTGAAGAAAATAATCATCTGCCTCTGTCCGTGATTAATTTTGACATTTTGGAAATGAATTGAAGCTTCCTCTGTCGTGGTGCCAATTAGTGGAGTTAGTAGGGATAATTACTGGATTAATTCGCAGGCTTTCGGCGATATCCTGAAAGCAATTTATCATAGCGATGGTGGACAAGAATATCACAGATCACGTAATTCAGGGAGAGATAAATTGATCGATTGCTGGTTGGACATCTCGTAAGCCGGGCGAGCTGGTACAGAGTGGAGTGTCTAGACATCTTTCACAAGATATCACAACGAAGCGTTTCTTTGTTAATACGCTAATGACTGAGGAAGTCACACATATTTTACCTTTTTGGCGGTAATTATCCGGACGGGACCAGCCTGTGAATAATGAGACCCTAAGTGAGTGCCACTCGATGAAAATGCGGAGGCATTTTTAACGGCCATGGTCTTTGTGATAAATAACTTCTCTCATGAACGATTATATAAGCCGGTACTTTGAGGTATTTACGAATGGGACACATGCTTCAGCGCAACAGTGAGAAATAGTATTTGGCCTAATCTTCACACGGTTCGCGATAGTTTGCCTCCGAAAAGAATATACTCATGCGAACTGGGTCCTATCGGACTCGATCCCTTGAAAAGAAATCCTCTACAGGCATAATGAATATTGATTACATTACAGAGTTACCTCCCTTCGAATGTATACCCGGAAGTGTCAAAATATTCCGGGAGATCTAAACATGGCGTCGAGGGAGTTACTGGCTTCAGACATGAACACTTCAACACTATCTATAAACCTATGTCCGATGTTCCCTGGTAATCCGGATCACTGTGTAAGTATACACAACTGTGTTGAGATAAATGTTCATTTATTGATCTTGTCTTAGTCTCATTAACATGTTGCACACTCAGTTGATTTGGTGACACTTCGCCAGCGAATTGTACAACGGAGTTTCTTCAAAGCCTAATTTCGCAATATTACTTACATGTACGTTGGTTTTATTTACAGATATTACTCACAGTGCGGAAGCTTTAGAAATATTCAGAAATTGATAAAACGTGGTTTATTTGTTTGTTCATTGCATTTATTTATGTCTTCAACATTTTCACAAAATTGTTTAGATTCAGATTTATTATTTGTTCTTTGATCTATACCAGATACTTGTTCGTAATCATTCGCTTTTTCTGGAAGTAAATATAAATATTGGGTAACCAGTATGTGTTACGAGTCAGGCATTTAACAAATTTACTTGAACGAGTACATTTTCTTAAATGTCTTACCTTGGTCTCTTACGAGGTCGTGCATCGATTTCATGGTTACTATGGTAACGGTTTTCCCGAAAATTCATCAAAATTAGATGTAATACTACCAGTGGTATCAATGTTGTAATTTCACTGAACATGCTCAGTCAACTGATGATCTGGGTGCCGTTGTACAAAGTGATCTTATCGCTAAGGTGACCGTAACTCCCATACTTTAACATAGACTTAAGGTAGCCTTAGCGATAAGGTTGTTTTGTACAAGGGCACCCTGTTGCATAAAATGTCACACATGGATAATCATTCGTCAGGATATGTTGGTCGTTGTTCCACTGGTGCAGGTTTTGGGGAGCCACCCATACGAATTTGGGAATTTGTTGAAGGAATGTTTGATTGGCATTCAAGATGTTCGGGAGTGGATAATAAAGCATACAGTTTTATTGATAATAACTTCTTGTTTATTGCATAGAGCTACATTTCAATGTAGATTCTTACACCGTTAATAGGCGTTACCAAGCTGAACCATACTGACACCTTAGGGAGAAGGAAGTATTGGGGCAAGTGGTGTGTACTTCCTGTGTTATCAGGACAACACATCCATGGTTACAATGAAGTAGGTACTATTTCTTTTCTTATCAGGGCCCAGGTTTTAACCTGTGTCATCATGTGGGATTGATATGCACTATATGGGCCCCTGATGTTGTTTTCAATGCAACATTTTATATTTCAATTCGAGTATGGCACTAGGGCACTGACTAAAATGATCCCTGTGCTATTGATCATAGAGAATTATAATCAATAATAATTATAAGTAATTAAGCAGAGGTACAGATAAGCTGCATATCTGCATAAATTACGCAAATATTTATGTAAAAACTCAATTCCTATTAAGTCTACTGCACACAAGTACGCTTGAATTTTGTAAATGCCTGGTAAATTTCATCTTACATGCGTACACACAAACTGGATAAAGGTATATTGAGAGGTTCTATTTCAGCATATGAACTTATCAACTTGCAGTCTTTCTTATCGCTTCTCATATTACAGATCAAATATAAATAATAACATGTAAACCAACATTTGAACTTTATTATGTTTTTACAATTAATGGAAAATGGAAAAATACCCAATTAAGTTTGAGCGAGGTGGGTAAAATTTATTTGGTTACTCAGAAGAAAAGTAAGATACCCAATTGAGATGAAGACAAATGAGTAGATAACTCAATGACCCTAAAACTAAAGGTTATATGTACCTCAGAATTTTGTCATTCAATTATCAAGAAATACTGGAAAAGTAACTCTGTATTTTGTTATTGCTTAACTGAATATTATAGATAATACACCAAATGCTGATGTGTATTTGTGACGCAATATTTATACTCGTCACCCAATACTCATGATATATATGTAACAAGGGCATGGAGAGCCTGTAAGTACACAATGTGTGAGTTCTAGGGTGAAAAGTCTTCACAGGTGAGGCCAATAGTATAGATAAGGATAAACAAGAGGATGATGTTTGCCTGTCTCTTTAGCAGGCTAACTCTTCTCTTCTGTTCTAGCAGTTCCTTGTGTTATAAACAATAATAAACTGATCACAAATATTGCAGATTGTTGATGGGGAGATATCTGCACTTTCTTGGTGATGCTCTGTATTCTCAGGGCTGGTGGGGTAGCCTAATGGTTAAAAGTTCTAGAAGTTGAGGAGTTGAAGAATGAGAACAATTTTATGGATATACAACTTCTTTATTCTGTATAGGCGACGTTTCACCATTTGCTTGATGACAACATTAGAATCTATGTTGAAACGTCGCCAAGACATAATAAAGGAGTTGTATATCCATAAAATTGTTCTCATTCTTCAATTTTTAAAGATTTTCTTGGCAAGGTCAAATCTCAGTAACTAGAAATTTGGAATGGTATTTGAAATTATTGCAGTTGTATTCAAATTGAGATTTGGAGAACACAGAGGAGAGTCCCAGAAAATTTCCTGACAAAACATGGCTGCAAAAAAGTGGACGTGTACAGTGTTTCAAGCTGTATTTTTATACAGATCTCTCTCCACCTGTTTCATTATTCATACTACAGACGTGCTGGACATAAACCGATCCATATTTTCCTGGATCCAGGCTATTCATAGACAATAATAATGTTGGTTAGTCAATAAATATATATTCTTTTCAGTCCCCTTGGCCATTGAGATGGGAATAATCGTATTTCTATGAATTTGTAAGCATGTATTGATCCCTCTGTCATAACTCTCAAAGATCTGATTATTTTACCTGGTAATTTTGTCACTTGTTTGTTCTTTATTAACATTATGACGAAATCAATACCACTACGGTGGTGTTAATGATGCTTTGGGTGATGATGATGATGATGATGATGGTTCTTATCAACACTTTGGCTAAATCAATACAACTATGTTGGTGTCCAGGATACTTTGGATGGATCACTGTTCACCCAATGTTCATTCTCACTGATCTCAGTTCCATGGGTAGTATACTGTTGCAGGGAAGAATTGTCTCCCTTAGTTATGACAGGATCTGCTAAGTTTAAATTCTATAATACTCCTTCAATAGTCACACACTGCTTGGGACCGCCTCCGTGGTGTAGTGGTTAGAGCGTCCGCCCGGAGTGCGGAAGGTCGCTGGTTCGATCTCCGACCGCGTCATACCAAAAGACGTTAAAATATGGTACTTGTTGGTCCCTGCCTGGCGCTAGGCATTAATTGGTACAACAAGGACTGGTCGGCTCGGAGTCAGTATACTGTGTCTGAGTGGGGTATTCATGCTTCACTGCGGCATGGTATCTCAGTGGGCTAGCACTATAAAACCAGCTTCAGTCTGGGCTAGTACAAGCAGCCGCAACATACACACGCATGCACGTCGTCATATGAGCGAAATATTCTCAAGCACGTCGTGAAACCCAATTTCACCTCACCTCACACTTGCTTGGGCTTGATTATGAATATTTTGGGGGATATGGATACACACGATGCAAATATTCCCTCTGTTCAAACCACACACACCCAGCCCCAGCCCCAGCCCCCAACACTCACCCATCTGAAATATTCACGATCCCAATTTTTTCTGTTCAGTGTATAAGTTATAACTGAAAGAGTACTGTGTATGTTAAACAAATGTGCTATATATCATAAGGAACAATCAGTAATAAACATAATATTAACATTGATTTCCAGCAACAGCGTCCATGCATGACATTTTGCAATCAATTTGAGAATAATTAGCATTGATTTGATTGTGTGGCTCACAGCCCAGGCAGTTGTGCACTTGTGATCAAGGAAATAGTTGGTCACACTTCACTGAGCAGACAGAGCTAGTTGTCTGGAAATTGATCTTCTCCTTACTGTAATGCGTACAGATCTGCTGATAAACTGCGTATTTGTGTAAAATGTACGAAACTGACCACAATTTCCCAGTAATGTTGAGTTGTTTGAGTACAAGCCTGAAACATTCTTCAACCAATCAGTCAATCCCTCATGGATTCTGCAGCAAATTTTTAAGAATTCTGCAGCAAATTTAAGTAAATTCTGCATCCTACTTTTCAAAATTCTGCAACAACTTCTGCAGTTAAATTCTTCTGCATTAAGAGGTAATTTCTGCGATTAATTCTGCAACCGCAGAATCCAGGAGGGACTGAAAAGTGTACCTTTTTTTAAATGTAATTACCTGTGTGTTTTTTTCAGCTGTCATACCTTTTGTAACAATGTTTTTTGACTGATTTACTGATTAAATTTTAGTCACTCTGAGCTTGTTTGACCCTCTTGAGAGCACATGCAAATTGGAAGAAACCTGACACAGAATTTTTAACTTTTGTGATAATACTGACAGTTTTAAGAATCATCGTTAGATTGGCTGAACATACTCAATTGAGAAATGGTTTTGAAAACTGAAATCAGAGCTCCAGATAAGGGCTATATCGGAGTATGTACATACTCCTGATGTTGAAAAATTATCTGGAGCCCTGCTGAAATTATGTTTTACAACAAAAGAAATAGTTTAAGTGTTCAGAGTTAAGCATATAAGGTAACAGTTCCATGTCATAACTCTGATGTTGAAAATGATAGAATCATTTCCACGAAATAGTGTTTCTCAATATTATGTATATGGCAGCCATAATTTAGTCGAAATAATCGAGTCTGGACCAGCCTGAGAATGATGGAAATTTAAAAGCTGCATAAATACGAGGTCACCCTAAATGATTGGAAGGGATCCAAGAACCCCTTTTTTTTAAAAAATGGTCGTTATCTTTAAATGTTAATGTGTTTTGGGGAGTTGGGAAAGAGTACAATTAGTGATAATAGCCGTCAGCAGGTGCATCTGCCCAAGACTGTTTCCGTCATTACAACAAGGGAAGATGAGTGTAGAAAAAACCTGTGTGTCCCATAGGATTCCTGCAAGTTGTGCAGTGAAGTAAACTTGATTAAACTGTAGTAGTGGCTTAATTCAGTACAAGGGCACTGTTACAGGTAAACATGATAATTAATGACAAGGGTTACTGGTAATTACTGCCGTTCACATGCAAGTACTACAGTATCATACTCGTTATTACCACAGCTAATCAGTGGTTAATACAGCTATCTTACCTGTGATTATGACAGTCATTTTACTTGTGATTACTAGTTAGAATGTGTTTCCTTTACCTGTGATTACTACAGTCATTTTACTTGTGATTACTAGTTAGAATGTGTTTCCTTTACCTGTGATTACTACAATTATCTTACTGCAGCTCCTTTACCTGTGATTTCTACATATATGTCTTATTTGTGATCTCCCACAGTTATTTTTCCTTAGATTACAACAGCTATCTTACCTGTGATTACTACAGCTATCTTACCAGTGATTACTACAACTATCTTACCTGTGATTACTACAGCTATCTTTCTTGTGATTACTACAGCTATCTTACCAGTTATTAATACAGCTATCTTACCAGTTATTACTACAGCTATCTTTCCACTGATTACTACAGCTATCTTACCAGTTATTACTACAGCTATCTTACCAATGATTACTACAGCTATATTTCCAATGATTACTACAGCTATCTTTCCACTGATTACTACAGCTGTCTTACCAGTTATTACTACAGCTATCTTACCATTGATTACTACAGCTATCTATCCACTGATTACTACAGCTATCTTACCAGTTATTACTACAGCTATCTTACCAATGATTACTGTATACAGCTATTTTTCCACTGATTACTACAGCTATCTTTCCACTGATTACTACAGGTATCTTACCAGTTATTACTACAGCTATCTTACCAGTTATTACTACATCTATCTTACCATTGATTACTACAGCTATCTCACCACTGATTACTACATCTATCTTACCATTGGTTACTACAGCTATCTTACCAGTGATTACTACAGCTATCTTACCAGTGATTACTACAGCTATCTCACCACTGATTACTACAGCTATCTTACCAGTGATTACTACAGCTATCTTACCAGTGATTACTACAGCTATCTTACCAGTGATTACTACAGCTATCTTACCAGTGATTACTACAGCTATATGACCTGTGATTGCTTCATTTCTTTTACCTGTGAATCATGTGATTGCAACAGTTATTTTTCCTGTGATTGCAACAGTTATTTTTCCTGTGATTGCAACAGTTATTTACCTGTGATTGCAACAGTTATTTACCTGTGATTGCTACTGTAATATTTCTGAGTGTGGTTGTTAAACATTACAACAAAACTGTCATGCGAGCAGTATCATGGACCATCTAGATGACTCATCTCACGTATGTTTTATGTCTATGCAGGATACTGTGGTTCTGGTGAGGAAAGTGGCAGCATCCTTCTCGTTCATCGGATGGTGAGTCTTTTACAATGTTTACTTCTGTGGCTAGTCTGAAATATCAAAGCAACTCTTTACAATTGCATTCTTAGGGACTATATAATTTGTTCACTGGTCACCCAGGCTGATGTACCCTTGATGTTTGTTTATGTTCCCTGAGCCCAGGGGACTAGGGAACAACGTATTTATCTTACCGAACACCTCAATGGTAATTTTGAACTGTTTGAAGCACAGGTATTGGAGCATAGTATGGAGTACCAGACGACAAGACAAGAAAAACAACTTTAGAGTTATCTCCCTTCCATCGATTGACATTCGCAAAACATAGCTAATTTCCGTACATCATACGTGATTCAATGTTATTCGAGATAAAGAATTACCAAATGAATTTGCCATTCCCAGTGGGGTACAAAGAAAATGTTACTGGCTTGTAAGCCGGGTACATTGAAAATAATAGAAGAGCGCTCAGCCAATCAGAAAACGACATTTATGTGTGAGGCAAGATAAACTATGCAATATCTTTTTGGGGGACTAGGGGAAATAGACATTTGTGAAATTTGAGAACTATTTTTTGTGCATGTTTTTCTTTTCAAAGACTCAGTTCGCCCATCCCTTTTTCCACCCAAACTTGAATTTGTGTGAATTTGTTTTTGCGAAAATAATCATACTGTGTGCAGTAAAGTTAAAAGGGTCTGGTCAGCTCGTTAGATAGTGGTCATCTCCTCAATATGTGCTAAGTTGGTTTGGGTCCAGATTCTGTGACTGGCGTGAAGTGCTAAGACATGATATCAATTGCTTTTCTGCTGGACAGTCCACCAATTATCACAACTGGTCAGACTTTGTCCCCTGACTCCTGTGTTGTTACAGGCTTAAGGATGGTCAGCTTTATCATGTCTCGGTCAGCTGGATCAATATGGACAGGCTTTACATTATCATAAAACTCACTTGATGTCTTGAAGTATCTCACCGATTCCTCAAAATAGAGAAATTCTCACCGATTCCACAAAATAGAGAAATTTTCATTGATTCCACAAAATAGAGAAATTCTCACTTATTCCACAAAATAGAGAAATTCTTACCGATTCCACAAAATAGAGAAATTTTCATTGATTCCACAAAATAGAGAAATTCTCACTTATTCCACAAAATAGAGAAATTCTTACCGATTCCACAAAATAGAGAAATTTTCATTGATTCCACAAAATAGAGAAATTCTCACTTATTCCACAAAATAGAGAAATTCTTACCGATTCCACAAAATAGAGAAATTTTCATTGATTCCACAAAATAGAGAAATTCTCACTTATTCCACAAAATAGAGAAATTTTCATTGATTCCACAAAATAGAGAAATTTTCATTGATTCCACAAAATAGAGAAATTCTTACCGATTCCACAAAATAGAGAAATTTTCATTGATTCCACAAAATAGAGAAATTCTTACCCATTCCACAAAATAGAGAAATGGTATGATTGTATTTATCCCTATTGTAGCATATACCAAGCACATCACTTGCTGTGCCTGAACTATGTGAAGCCACAATTTTCATGATTTTTGTTTTTTGGGGGAAACAGACAAAGAAACAAATAAAGACTTATGTTGCTAATTATTTTGTCATTTTGAGGTGGAAATAATATAACATAACTTTTCTAATTTGATTTAATACCTTTCACTCTAATGGTATAACCAAATGAGTTATAAGTTACTAAAATTTCGGTTTTAATTGTTTTGTGTTGAAATGAGTGAGTGAGTTAAGTTTTATGCAGTTTTTAGCATTATTCCAGCAATGTCAGGGCACAAGAAATGGCCTTCACAGATTGCACCCATCTTCTGAGTGATGTGCAAATGCTTTAACCAATAGGCTACCACCTGCCCCTGAGTGAGTGAGTTTAGTTTTACACCGCACTCAGCAAACAATATTCAAGCAATATGGGGACAGCCAGTAAATAATCAAGTCTGGACAGACAGTGCAGCAATCAACAGCATGAGCATCGATCTACACAATTGGGATATGATGACATGTGTCAACCAAGTCGTCGAGCCTGACCACCTGATCCTGTTAGTCTGTTGAAATAAGTGAGTGAGTGAGTTTCATATTGCCCCGCTTTTAGCAATATTCCACCAATATCACAGCGGAGCACACCAGAAATAGGCTTCACACATTGTACCCATGTTGGGAATCGAACCCAGTCTTCTATGTGACGAGCGAACGCTTTAACCACTGAGCTACCCCACCACCCCTTGCTGAAATGAGGATTCACTTGGGATGGTTTTAAGCAAATCTTGAAGCGATGTAGACCTGATAGACCGATAAAAGTTACTGCCTTTTGAAATGACATATCTGCACATTAGCATGATTAGGCAGAAAAACGTGACATTCATGTGTCTCAAAAGTCCATTCACATTAATTCGGAAACTTTAGAAGTTACTTTTTAAAATGAAGAAATTGTTTTGTGGACAAAATTTCATAAACCAACCAAATAAAACATATTTACATCCCTTACTATAAATGTGTTGATTGTTATCTTGTTTTCTGCAGTCTCTTCATGATCTTCGTCATCTGGCTCTTCAAGAAATACATCGTGTTTACACAGGTAGAGTGACCAAAATGTCTCTGGTTAAAATCAAACCAACAAATCTAATAACACATAGCGTTGATTATTGTGACATGAATCACAGGAATGTTCAGTATTTGTACTCTTCCAGGCTGAAATGCTTACATCCTTTAACTTGAAGATATTTTTTATACCAGTATTGTTATTGTTTTGACTAAAAGGTCATACATGACTCTTATTTGTTCTTGTGACTCTTTATGTAGAAATATCTTCAGCAAATCATCTCTCCCAGTTTTCTTGGATAAAACCTGGATCGCAGGCATGTGTTTGAGACTCCATGAGTTACCTCCCTTTTAAACCAAGATGTCTTCTGTTGCAGAGGCTGATCTTGTACCTGAGTATCAGTGCACTATTGGACAGCATCTCCTATCTTATGGTAAGTGGTGTCTTCTCTAGACACTGGGACTTTCCAAGTTGCTGATGTAAAAGTGTAACTTCAGCTCTAGGGCAGTAGCTCTAGTTTGGGAGATTTCCATCGCCATTTTAACACAAGAATTGGGTACTGGGAACCTTCTACCAGATTCTCATCCTTTAACTTGTTTGCTTGCATAGTGTTCGACTACTAACATTACAAATGTCAGTCCAGATGCATGTTCTGTTGGCTGTTCCACATCTAACCCGACTAACTGATCTGTCTCTCTTCTTCATCCATCTGATGCTTTCAGGAACACACAGAGGTTTGTAGTTGTTAATTGTGTGCCCCACACCTTGACCCACCCTCCCCAGTGTGCCCCCAAACAACACCCCTCACCACATGCCCCAGTCATCCACCCACCCCAGTGTGCCCCCAAACAACACCGCTTACCACATGCCCCAGTCATCCACCCACCCAAGTGTGCCCCCAAACAACACCCCCTTCCACATGCCGCAGATCATCCATCCACCCCAGTGTGCCCCCAAACAACACCCCTTCCACATGCACCAATCATCCAACCACTCCAGTGTGCCCCAAACAGCAAACACACACACACAAAACCCCCCACCCCCCCCCCCCCCACCACCACCACATGCCCCAGTCATCCACCCACTCCAGTGTGCCCCCAAAGAACACCTCCCACCACATGCCCCATTCATCGGCCCATCCAAGTGTGCCCCAAACAACGCCCTCCACCACATGCACCAGTCATCCACCCACTCCAGTGTGCCCCAAGCAACCTCCTTTTCCCCCCATCCACATGCCCCAGTCATCCACCCACTCCAGTGTGCCCCCAAAGAACACCTCCCACCACATGCCCCATTCATCCACCCACCCAAGTGTGCCCCCAAACAACACCCCCCAACCTCCCACCACATGCTCCAGTCACCCTACAGCTCAGATAACATGCAGACATATGTGTACTGTGTTTAGTGTAAATCTATTCCTTGTAAGACAATTTCTACAGCTCAGATAACATGTAGTCATGTGTTCTGTGTCCAGTGTAAATGTATTCCTTGTAAGACAATTCCTACAGCTCAGATAACATCTAGTCATGTGTTCTGTGTCCAGTGTAAATGTATTCCTTGTAAGACAATTCCTGCAGCTCAGATAACATGTAGTCATGTGTCCAGTGTAAACGTATTCCTTGTAAGACAATTCCTACAGCTCAGATAACATGTAAGTCATATGTGTTTAATGTAAACGTATTCCTTGTAAGACAATTCCTACAACTCAGATAACATCTAGTCATGTGTTCTGTGTCCAGTGTAAACGTATTCCTTGTAAGACAATTCCTGCAGCTCAGATAACATGTAGTCATGTGTCCAGTGTAAACGCATTCCTTGTAAGACAATTCCTACAGCTCAGATAACATCTAGTCATGTGTTCTGTGTCCAGTGTAAACGTATTCCTTGTAAGACAATTCCTGCATCTCAGATAACATGTAGTTATGTGTTCAGTTTAAACGTATTCCTTGTAAGACAATTCCTGCAGCTCAGATAACATCTAGTCATGTGTATTCAATGTAAAAGTATTCCTTGTAAGACAATTCCTACAACTCAGATAACATCTAGTCATGTGTCCAGTGTAAAAGTATTCCTTGTAAGACAATTCCTACAGCTCAGATAACATGCAGACATATGTGTACTGTGTTTAGTGTAAAAGTATTCCTTGTAAGACAATTCTTACAGCACAGATAACATCTAGTCATGTGTTCAGTGTAATGTATTCCTTGTAAGACAATTCTTATAGCTCTGATAACATAATTTGATAGATGTGTCAGGCATGAGGAATAAGCTACATATTCATATCCATCTTAGTGATCAATTTTAAACCATTTGCTTGTTAAATGAAATCATGAACAGTTGCCAAAATCTTGATTAACGGTTGTGGTTTCTTAGTAATGTCCATACAGTACAGAAGGGCAGTTAAATCCCATGGCATAGATTTATGTATTTGATCTCATGGTCCTACAATGTGGACATATGAAGAAATAATGAGCAGTATCCTGGCATGTGTAAATGTATTCCTTATGAGACCACCTCTACGTCACAGTTAGCATCCACTTCCATGAATTATTAACCATTCCAACACAACCGTTGGGGCATGCTGCTTTCTCAGACCCTGTACAGAAATTCCTTACTTTCTGAAAAAACAGTCACCATGGTAATTTTCAGCCCTTGCTATTCTGTACCTGACAATGTTTTACATCAGGAAGAACGCAACATCTTTGAAGTCATATCTAATTATTGTTAACATTTTTTTGTGTATTTTCAGAGTGACATGATTCCTGATAGTACTCTGTGTAACTTTCTTGGATGGTGGTTGACATTTTTTGGTAGGTTTTATTCTCCTATACATTATTCATTGCCGCCAATGCGAACATCATTGAATTCTGTATTCCAATCTTACATATATAATCTCTGCATCGTCTTAAAAGGTGGACCATGAAGATCTGTGTTAGAATTGGTCTTCAGCAACCCATCCTTGTCGGGTGATTAGGTCGCTGACTTGGTTGACACATGTCATATCCCAATAGCATAGATCCTGTTGATCACTGGATTGTCTGGTCCAGACTTGATTATTTATAGACTGCCACCGGATAGCTTCAATATTGGTAAGTGTGGCGTTAAATAATAAACAATCGAACTCAAAAAGGTGCTATACGTTTTCCTTGCTGATGTCATAAGTTTTATGTTGGTCTGTAAATAATTCCATGTTGACAATCCCGTGATTGATATAGTGAGCAACAAACCATGTTGTAGGGTTAAAGTGACACACAATCGACCAAGTCACAGAGCTGGATCACCCACTCCATTGTCTTAGGATCAGCATAGGCTGCTGGGGACAGGGCACCTTCCACACAGCGATCTTAGGGATATGGCATTGTAAGCCTATGTATGGGAGTTATATGCTAAGATCGTTATGTGGATTGGAGCATGTTCTTACCTAAAACTTACTTTTAGCTTGAAAAAGGTGTAGGTGTCTACACCGAAACGTCGCTTTATACAATAAACAAGAAACAGTCATCCATAGAGTCGTATGCCTCATTACTGACTCACCAACTTCTAAAAAGGAGCTCAAACAATTGTTCTTTTTTTTTAATCACTTTATTTCTTTTTGATGGGTACATAATTGTTGCATTTGTGGTACATAAATAAACAAAGTATGAACACGAGTGGTAGATAATCCGTAGGCTAGAAGAATACATTGTTATTGTAATTTATGTGAAGTTTTCTTCATATGCACGTGTTTGCATTGGCCTCAAGAATTGAAAAAACACTTTTAAACCACAGTTCTAACGGTACTTGAAATGCCACGATTGCCAAATGTGCAACGTGAACGTGCCGTTGGCATGTTGCAAGCGGGAAGATCAGTTATTGACGTCGCAAGAGCAATGGGATGCAGCCGTCGTACTGTGTATGACTTTAGATGCAGGTCGCCTACAACAAACTGGCACCACTTCTGATCGCCCAAGGTCGGTCAGATCACGCAGTGGCGTCGAATGCAGCAGAACACCGTCAAATCGTCCTCGTCACCTACGTGACAGATTTCTGCCGGCTGCACGAACCAGGGCTGAGATGTTTAGACGTCGACTGTTCTCACAGACCATTCGAAATCGGTTGCGGGCCGCAACGTCACCTCCGATGGACCCAGAGAGACTGGAATCGAGTCGTCTTTAGCGATGAATCCAGGTTTACCCTCAGATTTGCGGACGACAGGCATAGAGTCTGGAGATGACGTCGTGAACGGTATGCCCAATGTTGTGTACAGGAAGTCGACAGATTCGGGGGCGGAAGTTGCATGGTGTGGGGTGCTTTCTGTGGGAACAACCGTTCCAGACTTCTGGTCATCCGTGGAAACCTCACAGCTGCTGCTTACGCGCGACCAGGTGCTCACCCTGAACTCGCGTTCCTTTCATGGCGGCTCATGGCCCAGGTCTACAGTTCCAGCATGATAATGCTCGGCGGCCGAAACCGCGATGTTGACACGAAATTTCCTTCAAAACACTGGAATCAACATCATGGACTGGCCATCGAGGTCCCCTGGCCTTAATCCAATAGAGCACGCTTGGGAATGCACTTGGGAGAAGGCTTCGCGGGTCTTAGGAACCAACCTCAGAATTTGCAGGAACTTGGCGCTGCCTTGCAAGAGCAATGGCGCAGAATCCCCAACCACGCGGTTCACAAGCATCAGGCAGTCGATGAGGAGACGGTGTTTGGCAGTGGTGACTGCGCAGGGCGGCCATACACGATATTGAACTGAGAAATTTCGCATTTTTATTCTTGTGACTTGACATTCTGTATACCCATGTTTTGGAACGGCAATGTAGCCTAATGGAACTGATTATGGCACTGTCAGTGTATCGAGTACATCAAACAGATCTCAGCAATGAAATAATAACAATTTAACCATCTTACCATCTCTTGTTCTTTTATAGTGCCCTGAAGAAAGAATGTGAACTTTCTTTTTTGACTCAGTATATATAGTATTTTGTTGCGAAGATAATCAGGTTTAATACATCATTTCGTTTTTCTGTTTATCCAAAGATGATATGTTTTGCATCAAGAATTAATCTTGTGCTTGTATCTTGTTCAATCCAGGCTTGTAAGACAGTTGCCACAACGTTTTCACATGTACACATTCACAAAATATGTGGATAATTGATTCAATTGTAACGTTACAAAATGTACAAAAAGTCTCCATGATGTTCCTACATTATTAGATGATTCATAATCGAGATCCAGCACATTATGCCTCTTTATAGTTAGTTTCTGAGAACCTGGATTAGAATTGGTCCCCAGCGATGTTGCATTGCAGGAGCCTGCTGCAATCTTTTTCTTTAGAAAATACATCTTTTCCAAGTAGGTTCCAAAACAGATATGAGATGCTTCTGATTTTTTATTGTCCTTTTATCGCTGTTTTTGAAAATAAAATGTTGGTGGATATGTTCACTTTTAAATACCCACTCTCTCTCTCTCCAGACTGGACGGTGCTGCTGTGGGTGAGCTGCATCACCTTCAACCTCTTCATGAACGTCATCAGGACTACCACTACAGAGAAGTTTGAGTGGTATGTACTGTATGAGAGAGTGAGTGAACTGACTTTTACGTTGCACTCAGCAATATTCCAGCTATATGGCAGCGGTCTGTAAATAATCGAGTCTGGACCAGACAATCCAGTGATCAACAGCATGTGCATCGATCTGCGCAATTGGGAAGCAGTGACATGTGTCAACGAAATCAGTGAGCTTGACCACCCGATCCCGATAGTCGCCTCTTACGACAAGCATGGGTTACTGAAGGCCAGTATTCTAACCCGGACCTTCACGGGTCATGTAACTGTGTGAGCTGGGTTAGACCGATTCAGTGGGGCTAGACTTGGCAGGGTCACACAGACTTGGCCAGAGTATTTTATGAAAATTATTGAAAAGTGATATCTCTCTCACATTGTTATCTACCTTGTATCTATAACTATAAAATCACAATGGCTGCTGATGTGAAGAAAATAGGATCTGCTTGAAGAATCAGTGTGAATCAGTGTAATTCACTTCAGAGCCCACTGCAATACAGTTGGTTTGTGAACACACTGTCCTACTACTGTAGGGTACCAGTCAGCTTGTAGCATGTTAATCCATTGTTGATTCTTTGGAACACGTCCCTGGTACCTATGTGACCAGGTGCTTGAGTCTTGCTCTCGATAGAACATATGTCTTATGCGGGATATGACTACTTTGCAATTGTTTTTTTGTGAAATGTATTCATGGAAATTGGAAATCTATACCATTTTGCCAATTTTTCCCCCCAAATAATTGTTTGAAAACAATGGTCGAAATTTTTGTTTTGTTTTTTAACATAATTCTATGACACTCTAAAAGTTTGTAATGTTTCTTCATTAACATATGGAAAGTTTACAGAGTGTTTTGTTTTATTTTCGGGGTGGTTTGGTAGCCTAGTAGTTAAAGCGTTCACTCATCACACCGAAGACCCAGGTTCGATGCCCCATATGGGTACGATATGTGAAGCCCATTTCTGGTGTCCCTCGATGTGATATTGCTGCAATATTGCTAAAAGTGGCATGAAAAGTAACTCACCCACTCACTCAGTTTTCCTATTTTCAGGGCCTACCATATTTTGTGCTGGGTGTTTTCGTTTGTGATGTCCTGCCTGCCTTTCATCAACGACCGCTATGGGCCTGCTGGAGCCTGGTGGTGAGTAGACAGCTCTCGGTGTCAGTAGCCACAGCTACGAGCCTGCTGTAGTAGGTAGACATATATCTGTCTGTTAATAATTAGGGACCGTTCATCATTTATAGCTAGGGCGGATGATGATAATTTTTATGGAGAAGCATGTACAATGTGAATGACACACACACCCAAAAGAAACAAAAAAACTAAAAACTAAATAAAAACTAAATAAATAAATTAATATGTACAAAGTAAGTGACCGCCCTGCATGTCATGTACAAAGTCAATGCCCCCTTCCATATTTTAAAATATTTTTATGTACAAAATTGATGCCCCCACCCCCAGAAACGTGTACAAAATTGATGACCCCGACCACCCTAGAACAAAATGAGTGACAACACCCCCACCCCACCCCACCCCATTTTAAAAAAAAAAAATCCAAAAAAATCATCATCACCCCCTAGCCATAAATTATGAATGCTCCCTTACTTACCACTTTTGCTGTACCAATTCCCACATTATGTGTTATAACATGGCTGAACTATCATCAGTTCAGTTTAACACCTTGTCACTCATTCACCATTTTGTCTTTCAGCTGGATTGTGGAAGACTGGAGATGGAGGCTGGGCATGTACGTTACATCTGTTGCCATAGTTACGCTAAATATTGCTCACTGTATCAATATGTGATTCCTGTTTAGAATTGGTTCTCAGTACCCTGTGTTTTTTATAGGTCTGCAACTATTCAGTTCGATTCATCAAAAATCGAATCTGACACCTTAGTTTCAATTCTCAACAACCATTATCACAATTTTGATTCTATATGAAATATTTCCACACAAACCGAATGTAATTTTGACTCCAAGTCAAGCAGTTTTGAGCACTGAAATAAGGCGAAACATTACTGGTTCACGCTGGGCTTATTATCCAATGAGAATTGTTGTTAGTAGACATGCCAAGTTGATGATGGATTTCATGCTAAAAAAGCTGACTCTGAGATGTTTGGAACCAGGTTAACTTGGTTCGTGTTTAATGTAAACAGGGTGACCTCATGAAAATGTGGATTTTCATTTCCAAGTGAAGCTGAAGATAATTACTTTCTTCAACTATATGCACACTGTTTTGTGCCTATTTCAACAGATTTCTATGGCATTTGGCCTTTTTCAAACCGTTTCATACAAATACTTGCAAGTTTGTGAGTTTTATAGTGTTCAATGTTCCATAAACTTTAAAGATTTTAGTTGTGTTACACAATTCACAATTAAACTATCGCAGTTAATTGCCATGAACCTAGGTTGTTATGGACAGTTTATAACTATTTATGACTTCATTCACTGAGTTTGCACTTCATCAAAATAAGGCAGGGCACAAAATGTTTAAAAATGAGTCATTTTCTGACTGAATTTTAACAAAGGGTTATGGATAAAGACATGAAAACTTTACAAAATCAAGAGGTCATCCTGACCTATGAAAGGGCTTGTTGGTTAAAATTTCTGTCAGTGGAAAGTTTTGCTCACTCAATGTTGTCAGGACAGAGTTATGTCCCTTACCTAATGTCTCCCACCCTGTCTGATGACTGTGATATGCTGTTTTTAATTCTTTGCTGTGAGAGTTTTGAGCCTCAACACTTATTAGAAGATTTACCTGACACAACTTGTGTTTGAGTTTAGACTCAATGTCAAAATGAATATTGTTTGGGCATTCATTCCTTGACTTACATTATACCCTGATGAAGATCCTAGACCGAAGGGGTCTTCATAATCCCTCTCATCCAAAGAGGTGAGGTGAGGTAAAATTGGGTTTAACGTCATACTCGAGAATATTTCGCTCATATGACAATGTGCATGTGTGTGTGTGTATGTGCGGCTGCTTGTACTAGCCCAGACAGAAGCTGGTTTTATAGTGCTAGCCCACTGAGATACCATGCCGCAGTGAAGCATGAATACCCCTCTCAGACACATTATACTGACTCCGAGCCAACCAATCCTTGTTGTACTCTTTAATGCCGAACGCCAGGCAGGGACCAACAAGTACCATATATTCACGCTCTTTTTAGTATGGCGCTGTCAGGGGATCGAACCTCCGACCTTCCGCTCTCCCATCCAAAGAGGTGGTTAGCTGAATTGGTTAATGCATACCATGGTATTCCTGATGTTCATAATGTTAATCACTTGATTGTCTGGCCAAGACACTTACCTCTGGCTAGTGGGGTAGCCTAGTGGTTAAAGCATTCACTTGTCATACTGCGGACCTGGATCAATTCCCACTTTGGTACAAAATGTAAAGGTATTTTCTAGTGTCCCCAACGTGATGTAGCTTAAATAGGGACTTAAAACCAAACTCACCTGTCACAACGCTGGAGGGGCGGTGGGTTAGCCTAGTGGTTAAAGTGTTCCCTCATCACGCTGAAGACCCGGGTTCGATTCCCCACATGGGTACAATGTGTGAAGCCTATTTCTGGTTTGATATTGCTGGAATATTGCTCAGAAAGCTGGAATACAGCTAAGTGCTGTGTTTACATGTAAAACAAAGGCTGTACAAACTAGATTACAATGGTATTTTTACCCTGTGTTTCAGCTGGTACGGCCCTCTGTTCATCATAATTGCCTTGCTGTTTGTTGCCTATATCTATATCTCCGTCATGCTCCACAGGAAGGTAGGTACCGACCAGTTCCTTGTTCAGTGATACCAACCCTTTTCGGGAATCTGTGTTGTAACATATAGGAGACGACCATACTGATTTGGTAGTCAGACTGTGACTTGGTTGATACTGTGTCATTGTAACCTGACGCTATGGATTATTGTTCACAATATTAACCACTAGGATGTCTGCTTCAAAATGGATGATTTACAGGTGTTTAAGATGTTGGTGGAATTAAACTTAAGAAACCTTATCTCTGTAGATTTGTCAAGAGAGAACAAATCACAAGCTTGAGTGTTGACAATAGACCTTGAATGAGTGAGTGAGTGAGTGAGTGAGTGAGTGAGTGAAGGGTTGAGGCTTTGATGCTTATTACTTTTGCGAAAAATCCAAACACTACCACTGAAAACAAGTATATATTCACCTGCAACACGTTGCTAGGAACAGTTCTTCAGTAACATTATCTCATGTACCAATTTCATTATAAAAACTTAACTACTGTAAACGTACTTATTGTCGCGTGGTGCAATTTTCGCGGAATTGACAGTTTAGACTGCTTGGCGCGGTCAATTATTCGCGCAATCAGTAATTGCCGGAACTGCCAGCTGTCTCTTTGGCCGCCACTAATAGCAGTGAAAACAAACAGAGTGGCTTACCCTGTCAGGCGCCGTTTATTGCTTACTCACAGGAAATCCCTATCTGTGCGATATACTAGTACACAGTAATCCGTTTACTCCCGGAAGAGATGAAAAACACATCAGTCTTATGTTCCGAATTCTGACGATTTGACGAATTAACTTATACTGTATATGAAGCTTTTTTTGGGATTTCAAACAAGCCGGGTTGTTGTGAATGAGATGATTGAGTGTTAGTGACTATTCGCTAAATAAAAATAAATAAAATACTGCTGTATTATTTCTTTCCGAGTCGTTTCACGGTAATCTGTTTTGTATCAAACCATGTCATGTGACCAATTTCCATGGCGGCCACAACACACATTGCTGTTTTTTGCTAATTCGGCAATGGGATTTGGCTCATTATTTAATTATGTTTTGGGAAATCCATTACAGCGACAGTTAAGTATGATCAGTCGTCATTTTAAGATTCCCGTTGATTTCTGTCTTCAAACGTGATGTGTTATGGTAACAACTCAGGGGCGAGCGTGGCTAGACTGAACGAATGACAGGTTTATTCGCGGTGTATAAATTTTCGCGCTAAAATGTTTTGCAGTATTTTTACTTGAAAGTGTCAACTGTCATTACAGTGTTAAAATATATACCACAGTATTGACATTGCTTGCTACTAATGTTTCAAAATGTTCATGTTATTGTGTATATTACAGTGTTAAAATATATACCACAGTATTGACATTGCTTGCTACTAATGTTTCACAATGTTGATGTTATCATTGTGTATATTACAGTGTTAAAATATATACCACAGTATTGACATTGCTTGCAAGTAATGTTCCACAATGTTGATGTTATCATTGTGTATATTACAGTGTTAAAATATATACCACAGTATTGACATTGCTTGCTACTAATGTTTCACAATGTTGATGTTATCATTGTGTATATTACAGTGTTAAAATATATACCACAGTATTGACATTGCTTGCTACTAATGTTTCACAATGTTCATGTTATCATTGTGTATATTACAGTGTTAAAATATATACCACAGTATTGACATTGCTTGCTACTAATGTTTCACAATGTTCATGTTATCATTGTGTATATTACAGGCCAACACATGGGAAGGAACGTACGACCCTGACACGGAACGAGAACATGTAAGAACATCCTCCCAGGAACAGGAACACAAATTTAATACAAAACATCATATGAACATGACAGTCTTCTTTGGATCAAACAATTATCGGTTTTTCATTTTAAGCATCAAATGTCAAAGGGTCCTTGTCATCGCAAGACTCGCAAAGGTTAAGATTCGTCAGGCTTGCTGACTTGGTTGAAGCATATCATGGAATTCCATTTGCGCTTATCAATACTCATGATGTCAATCAGTGGATTGTCTGGTCCAGACATGATTACTTACAGACCACAATCATACAGTCCGGTGCTGATCAACAAGCCAAAAATAAACAAATAAGTTGGACAGAGATCGAGTAGCTGTATTCAAATACTAATGGACAAAATCCCTATGGACATCTGTATGCACATATATTTTGAAATATATGCCAGTTTGATTTCAGTACAGTGAGAAAAAAATACTTTTCATTTTTTTCCACATCCATTAATTTGGGTTTGATAGAATCATCATACAAGTTGATAAACTGAACCATTAACTTTTGTTATAATTTGCTGCAGAAGATATCTATAAGGACTGATAACTCATTAGTAACATATGTATAAGAACCAATTCAAATCAGTGGTTGGGATGTGTATCAGTGTTGGGGGTACCCGGTAGTAAACCAATCCCAGCCAGTGTTGTGTAGTCATGTTGTGTAATGAGTGTTGTGTGTTTCAGCAAATGCTCAAGGAGGATATCAAGCCCCTAAGATTCTACCCGTTTGTGTACTTGGCAGTGTCTATCTTTCCACTCATCAACAGGTAAACATCCTTGTCACATCCTCAGCAACAATGCTGAATCACCTTTGCCAAGAGGTACTGAGTTAATGTGACACCCTTGTTAACAAGTACACAGTACTGTGTCATACCCTTGTTAATAAGTACACAGTACTGTGTCATACCCTTGTTAATAAGTACACAGTACTGTGTCATACCCTTGTTAACAAGTACACAGTACTGTGTCATACCCTTGTTAACAGGTACACAGTACTGCATCATACCTTGTTAACAAGTACACGGTACTGTGTCATACCCTTGTTAACAAGTACACAGTACTGTCATACCCTTGTTAACAAGTACACAGTACTGTGTCATACCCTTGTTAACAAGTACACAGCACTGTGTCATACCCTTGTTAACAAGTACACAGCACTGTGTCATACCCTTGTTAACAAGTACACAGTACTGCGTCATACCCTTGTTAACAAGTACACAGTACTGTGTCATACCCTTGTTAACAGGTACACAGTACTGTGTCATACCCTTGTTAACAGGTACACAGTACTGTGTCATACCCTTGTTAACAGGTACACAGTACTGTGTCATACCCTTGTTAACAGATACACAGTACTGTGTCATACCCTTGTTAATAAGTACACAGTACTGTGTCATACCCTTGTTAACAAGTACACAGTACTGTGTCATACCCTTGTTAATAAGTAAACATAATTGTACAATATCCTTTTTAAGAACTACACAGGCAAGTCAAGGTCTTCATAATTAGCTGACCGCCTCCGTGGTGTAGTGGTTAGAGCGTCCGCCCGGAGAGCGGAAGGTCGTGGGTTCCATCCCCGGCCGCGTCATACCAAAAGATGTTAAAATATGGTACTTGTTGGTCCCTGCCTGGCGCTCGGCATTAATAGGTACATCAAGGACTGGTCGGCTCGGAGTCAGTATACTGTGTCTGAGTGGGGTATTCATGCTTCACTTCGGCATGATATCTCAGTGGGCTAGCACTATAAAACCAGCTTCTGTCTGGGCTAGTACAAGCAGCCGCACATACACATACACACGCATGCACGCGTCATATGATAGAAATATTCTCGAAAGCACGATGTTAAACCCAATTTCACCTCAACTCATAAGCAGAGACCATATAATAGAGGGACGGCCCTCTCCAACAGTTTATCACTAACCATCAGCGCTACGGCCTGGCATGTAACTGATACACATCGACACCCTGCTGCTAACTTCCCTCTCTACCGGTACACATGCGCAACAGATGCGCAGACATTCGCAAAATGAGCACTCTGGTAACCACGTAAAACAATATTGCGTAATATCCGGGTTGAGAGTTAATTCCCTTAGCGGGATTTCACCGGCTGCGACTGACAGTCAAACATTACATGGACAGCTCCAATAAACTGATTACAATAATCTTAATCTTTATCTTATCTCTTTTTTGCACATGTCAGCTGACAACATCGCTGAACATGTGTATTATTATTCGCGAAATGCGTGTCGTTATAAGCCCGGAATATCTGTTTTCAACGAACATTCGGCATTGCCATGGACGACTTTATTCACTGGGATGATTCCGACTTGGACCTCGATACTTTGCTTGGCGAATTTACAGACTACGACCAGGATTGTGTTTCGGATGATACTGAGTCTGATGTAAATGACAGTGCGGCTAGTGCTCCAAAGACAAAGAAAAAGACAGGACAAGAAATTACCACGGCTGCCTACGAGTGCCCCGAGTGCAACAAAACCTACAAAACTATTGTAGGTTTCCGAGGGCATATGAAGAAAAAACACAACCGATCAGACATCAAAGGTATAGTACATTATATATTGTTTATATGTAGATCTATATATTAATTTTAGTAATGTGTATTTGATAAAACACATAGTAGTAGATCTAATTGTATTAATAATATTTACAAACAATTACCAAAATACGTAACGGATGCCACCGAAAAGATTTATCCGACTATTACACAGAATTCCAACTAATATAGTCAGGTAAGGCAGTTTTACAGTTGCCAATATCCCCGATGTTCGCTAAACGTATCATCACGTAATCTATAAGTTTTACTTGCAAGTATCCGTTGGCACTGGCAGGTGTTTCACTAAATGACGCTAGTAGTCTCTGATTCTAATTTCATAATAATTCGCATATTTTTATACAGATGATAGTCCCAACGAAGCACGATTTCACATTATCCACGAGCATTAATGTCTTTTATAATGCTAGTCTGGGGCTGGTAGTGATTATGCTTACGCACGGAGACGTACTACGACGAACGTAACAATTTTCACAAACGTTACTTTTCTCTGAGTCCATGAAATATTCGTGCTATGGGCAGGAAGTGCCACATTTCCCAATTAATTTTAAAATTTCAGCATGCAAATGATGAGCGTTACCAGGTAAAACGAACTGCATCAAAAGTCAAAGTGTCAATTTTACCTTGGCAGGAAACTGCAACCAATACCATTAAAAAACAACATCACACGTTCTGATATGTACATGTATTTATAATAGAATAGGAACATAGATCTATATGTATTACTAAATTCAACCATTTACATATTCTTTTATTAAAAACACAGTAAATGTGAATGTCAACTGTTGTAAAAAAACTCTAAACTTAATTTGAAATTGAGACTAAGACTAAAGGTATACTAATGTTTTAAAATATTAAACATGATAACTTGTTAACTTGGTGCAACACAAACTGCGAATGAATTGTGAATGAAAACATAAAATCATACAAATCTGTACACAACCTTAAAATAACTTCATTAACTGATATTTTAGGTATCCATGAAGTGAATTATACATTTGATTATAATTTCCATAAAATCTTCTCATGTAATTTATGAATATCAACTGTTGTAAGGAAACTATAAACTGAATTTGAATTGAGACTAAGTCCAAACAATATACTATGGTATTAATATATTACTGAGTGAGTTTGGTTTTACGCCGCTTTAGCAATATTCCAGCAACATCTTGGCGGGTGACACCAGAAATGGGCTTCACACATTGTACCCATGTGGGGATTCGAACCCAGGTCTTCGGCGTGACGAGCCAACGCTTTAACCACGAGGCTACCCCACCGACCTGTATTAATATATTAAAACATGATAACTTATAAACTTCTTGCAACACAACATGCATAGTTATGTTGTCCATTTAGGACTGATTGTGAATGTAAAACATAAAATCATACAAATCTGTACACAATCTTAACATAACTTCATTAACAGATATTTTAGATATCCGTGAAGTGAACTGTACATTGGATTTAATTTCCATAATTTCTACTCATGTACTTTATTACATGTTAAATTATTAGATTTAGCTATCCTCTTTCTTATTTCAGCTTATGAGCACAGACAAAAGAGCAGCACCACCAAGCCACACAGCTTCAAACCCGATGAATCGTCAAAAGTCTTGCCTCTTGCAAGTGAAGCGCAAATGTTGGACGCCTTAAAGGATGAAGTACCCAAGGCACTAAAATTGATCATTTGCGACCCCATGATGGATGCATCTCAGTCAGGTTCAATAGTTGGTGAAGATGTGATTGAAATTGCAAAATCCCTCAGTAGAGATTCAGATGCCATAAACGATTTTATAGTTATTGTGACACCAAAGTTACACCATGTGTTCAAGGGGTTTGGCCATGGGAGTTCAATATCAAGCGACCGAGAGGAACTTTGGAGGAAGTATCATCAGATGCGCATACAGGAAGAATTTATTTCAAGCATGCACACCTGTATAGAGGAAGTCAGCAACCATCACATCAGACTTATTCACATCTTCACCCAGTGTTTGCTAGACCGCATAATTCAAACGCTCTTTCACTTTCTTACGGAATCGATGAAGACAGCTGATGAGAAGCAAGCAAACAATATCAGTGGAAATGACCAAGCTGTGCTCTTTTATATTTCTGGATATATTGTCCACGCTCTTCTTAAAAAGAAGACAATAAGTGGCCAAAACATAGAGGCTCTCATCGATAGCCTTCAAACCAAAACAGAATCCAAAGAAAGCTACATTCGGACATTTGCCAGATGGACAGAAAAAATCAACAGGGGTGGCCTTACACTTCCAAGTGATTATTGCTTTCTTCTTGTGCGATCTATTGAAATAGCAGTCAGGAGTAAAGTGGATCTGTCCAACCTCTGTTCTTACTCCCTTCAATGTGATATATTGAAAGAAAGTATTTTGACTAACCCCATGGTCATCTTCTACTGGGACAAGTTAATCATGTGTGAAGAAAAACTAAAATTAAAACTTTTAGAATTTCTAGTAACTTTGTTTCTTAACGTGCGTGGTGGGGCTGTGGCCAAGTTTGTCAAGCGACAACAGCAGAAGGAGAAAAAAAATGAGAGAAAAACTAGCGAAGGGAAAAACAGCCAGTCACTCAGAAAAATTCTGAAATCAAGAGACAATTTATTGTAATCCAACACTATTTATGAGACTATTTACTGTTTGTGATTATTGACTGAGTTTGGTTTTACGCCGCTTTTAGCAATATTCCAGCAACATCACGGCGGTCTTTGTGATTAATGATAACAATTACTTATATGTATATATTGTGCACACCCATGAAAATCTGGGTTAGAATGACTCATCAGCAACAAGTAAAAACATATGTTACAATGAACATGTTCAACAAAATAAATTTCATATCATTGATATGTAGTAATTCAACCTTCCCAGTCTGCTGTTGTGTTCTTCCTATATAAAAAGTCTTCAACACATTACAGTTACAATGCCATAATTACAACAGATACTTTTACAGAGTGGTACTCCAGTGGTATGGGAGATGGAATCTTGAGATGTATGGGAGATGGAATCTTGAGATCATAAATTTGTCTGTTCTTTTAACGTAAAGCACATTACACAGGCTTCTGTCTGCGTCTAGGGAGTGCTGTATCATCAACAGTCAAGGTAGGGTGTGGCCTCTTGTTTGATATGTTGCCACGTATTGGTTGAAGCACAGATGAACCAATGACCTTTACCTGTGAAAAGTTCTGTTTGACAGCGTAAACTGATGGATTGTCATTTGAGCCTCCTTTATGTCTAAATTGTCCAAACTGTTCTTCTAAAGGGTCCTGATTAAATCGGTGAGTAAGAACAAATTCTGCACCGGCAGCAAGCATGAATCGCACACATTCAACTATGGAATGTACAGATATTCGGAGTCCTTTCAGTGTTTGATGGCTGAGCATCATGCGTTTCCTTTGAGTGAAAGTAAAATGCCCAGGCCGTTGCATAACACTATCCTCCCAGGCTTTGAAAAAATCCAAGAAGTCATTAAGAAGGTAATCCAGTCTGGGGTCATGAATACTGCGGTACTCTTTCTTATCACTGTTCCGAGTTCTGCTTCCTTCCTGCAAACTCCTTGAGTTGAGACAATCAAAAAATCGGTTGATATGCCTAATTAGGTTTACAGTTTCTTTGACTGGGTCCCCATATAGTTCCTCCAAAGCATTTGCCACAGAGCTACTAAATATTTGTGCAGCCAAGTTGACTTTCATGGCTGTGTATGGTGACAAATCTATATGGTCTCTTGTAAGCTTGTATGTCTTACAAAACAAGGCGTTTTCTACATGTTCTTCATACAACCTCAAAATTTGAATCCAACTGATATCTCGGCCATCCTTCCACAGATCTCTGGTCTTTTTGTGGGATCCTGAATTGGAAAAACAGTTTCTGGTTGTTTTGATAAGATGCGGAACATCTGAAATGAAGTACAGCTTCCTGCGTGGAAAAGAGTAGGGATTCCATGTCCAGTAGAAATTATTCAGCTGAGGATCTTCGTGTAAGCTGAAGAACTTGCGGTTGGGTGAAGCTCCATCGCAGGTTACAAACAGCGGTTTCAATCCAATTGCTTCTAAATTACTAACAGCTCCCCAAAGTAAAGGAAATAAGTAATCAGCACTTATACCCCTAGTGGCAAAGGCTGCATACGGGTATTTCAAATCTGTCACAATACCACGGATCATGAGTACTAACATGGTATTTGCTAGTTGAGGTTTAGTGCCTGTAATAACCTCCTCTAAACATAGTAAATCATTGCCAACTCTGTCTAAATCGACATAACCAACCAGTTCACCAGTGTTTTTGTCATAGACAAGACCTTCTGACACTTTCACTTCATCCTGCAGAATGCCAACGTAGGATTTTGCCTCAATGTCTAACATTCCAAGTGACTTGGCTTCTCCTTTTAAATGTTTGGAATAACTAGGATGGAAGCCAAGTGAACTTGGAAGAGCATGTGAATAGTCATACAGTGTCCTTTTGCTCGGTAAGGCTATGAAGCCTGACTTGCCAGCGACTTCATAGGCCTTTCGACTTCTACTCCTCATGTAGAGACACCATTTTATGACCATTGGATGCCATCGCATAGCACGTTTGTCTTCAAGGTCGCTGTATTTCTTCTGCTGCTCCCAGAAAAGTCTCTGAATAGATGTTTCATCAGGGTAACTATGTGATACTTCATCCGAGTGTTCCATCAAGAGTTTCTGAAAGTCGGAGTTAGATGAAACACTTAGGTTAAGACCTTTCTGAGTAATATTCTTGGTGATGGTTTTCCTTAAACGCTCCATTTCAAGCTGAATGGAATTTCGACAACTTTTCATCATTAGGTACTTTTCTATGACTTCATTCTTCGACATGTTCTTGTGAGTTGTGTGCCCGAATGCATTTGGTTTCCGGTTTTTCGGAGAAAGGCTGTCTCTTCTGGCATTTGCTCGGAGTGTGGCTCTGTATTTACAGCAGTGGCTACAACGGTCTCTCTGAGAAACCAGAAACTGACACTTCAGGGATCGGATGGTGGAAGTATATGCAATTCCATTTATGTTGGCCCCAAAATCTCCTTCTCGGTAGGCAGATATTGTTGAAATAGCTCCTTCACTTATGCCTGCACCAACTGGAATCAAGTCTGCAAATCTGTCTTCATAATTGCCGACGCAAACATGGTATGTAGAGAGTTTTGATAAAAGTTTCTTCACATCTCTTAGAGTGGAGAAAAATGCAGGTAAACCAATCCAGAATTCATGATTTGGGCCAATGTCACGTCGATGTGCATATATTGCTGCTGTAAAGGATGGCTTGATGACTACTGAAAGCTGGACTGAGCCTACGTCATTGTCATAAAACTGCACAATGGTAATGTTTTCACGCTTGTTTCTTGCAATTGTAAAATTGCCTAGATCATCTACATGCTGAAACAGCTCCTTTTTCAATGTTAAAAATTGCTGGTACTTGTGGTATCGCAGGATGCCATCAACAAATTCATCTACATTGTTGTCCGGATGATACTGGTGAATTGTGTCCAAAATAACAAAGAATTCATCAGCCGAACAACCATCAGAATCTGTCGCTTCTTCCAGGCATGGGGTATCTGTGGGTTCATCGGTGAGGTCTATGAAGAATGACTTCCATGCCTTTTCCCATAGTGCATCTCTTGAACTGAAAATGGAGATACACAATATTAATATTAAAAAAAATAATTTGAAGTGTTCTAAATAGCTGTTAAAATTATGCAATAGTTGGATGCCAATGCTATTTCAACCAAGCTCTGGTTACTTACTCAAGATGGGAATATTGTACTTAATAATTTACATTATACCTTTTTTTACAGAAGAAAAGAAACAATATTAATATTTGATTATACAATGCTTTGATATTTTAAACGTATTTTAAAACACCAATAAAATGAATAAATACCACTAACTACAAAATATCAACACAAAATTACTCTCTTTTTTTCAAACACATCATTTGTGAATTTCTAACTTCCATTATTACTTACCTGCAATCGCCAAGAACAGTTGATTGTACTGATGAAGAAGAATGGTCAGAGAGAGAGGAAGAACTGACACCTTGTTGTCTTGGACCCCTCTTTGAGTAGCCCTTCCGACGACTGCTGATAAAAACTTTCTTTTTCCTGGGCATCTGCCAAACAAATGATAATTTATTATATAAATAGTGTAATGATAAAAATAAAAATGTTGATTCATTGTTGCATAAAGTCAGGCTGCTGGTACTGTATAATAATATAATAATATGTAGCAATATAACTCATAACTTCAGTAGGAAGAATAATGATAACAGAAAAATATATGAATTGTTCCATGATAAATAAGGACCCTTTCCACAAATATAATTATCAAAATGAACAATATTGGAAATATGTACTTTTTTTCAAACGATTAGGTGAATGGGACTTTTGTAGAATGATTTAAGTATATATTCGCGTTATATTAACGAACAAAATGAATGTTATGTCGTCTGCTACATGATAATTGAAATGTTCAGTATACGACGCAAATATGGGTATACGCCAAAAATCATAAAAAATAAAATACCGATCGTAGCCATATAAAAAGTGTACCACGCAAAAGAGGAAATCGCCGTGAATGTTCACATGTTTATTTCAAACATGCTAGTAAAAAGCTGTTCTTGTGAAAGCGTGCGAAAAATCAATAGTTGTGGAGTAAATATTTCGGAAAACATCATATTTCGTCGCATTGCAGGAGCCAAAATAAGGAATGACGCGACCGCCACAGACTTATAAATGCCCCTATACCAATCTTCATCTTATTTTCTTTCATTACACCCCGGTAACTAAGGATTTGTATTGAGAATTAGTATCCGTTAGTGAAAATCAAAATCGGGACTTTCGCCGATTTTACACCTCCGCCATTGTTCTCACAAAACAGCGAGCACACATGACAGTATTCATCAAATACAAAGACAAATATATGCTTTAGCACCCCTAATACACCTCTAATGCACTGTTGCAAATGTAAGTATATGCATGAGAATACATGAAAAAAATCAAATCTTACCTTTGCAATGAAAATACGCGAAATCGATGACTGAAGTCAACACACGTTTTAGCCAGCTTCCGGATAGGCTGCGCAGTACAAGCCGTAGCGCTGATGGTTTTGCGCACTAGCTAGAGGGCCGTCCCTCTATTATATGGTCTCTGGTCACACCAGTCAGTGGTGATTCCTTGTCCCATCAATGGTTACAATCGCTTAACAAAATCAGCTAGGTCTGTTTAAAACTACGTAAATTTGAAGTGTCTTTGAACTGTGTTTACCTGTCTTATGAATGTGTTACCTGCTACTGTCCATGTGAAGTGTGGTTGTGTCGTAAATCATCATAATCATATCGCACATTCATAAACACGTTCCTATATATAGCTAGTGCTGGTTGGTGTATGTCTTCCTGACTATGGATTACCTCACCGGCTCTCTCGCATGACCACTTGAACTCTGCTGCTCCCTCTTGAGAAATGCAAAGAAATGCGCATCGTCCCTCGACACCATGTAGTTTAAACAATATGTATTCTTGTATTTGAGGCATGTACAGTGGGATTGACAAACATGGCTTCCCCTATATTAATGTCTCTCCCCAAACGAATACATATTACAACAGGATATTTACATAAAAAAGTATTACACATTCATGTAGAAAAAACATATGATATTTTCAGGTAAGACGTTTGTTTAGTGAAATAAACGGATTGGATTATTTTTGTATTGACATGATTTCCCTCTTGAAATATGACAAAGAAATGCGCATCATCCCTTAAAGTTGACACCATGTACGCATAGATAGCTGTTGTACTTTCGCCCTTCATCAGGTGATTCTTGATTTATGTTGCCCCTTTGTACATTTCTTCAACAGAGACTACCTAGACAGTTGATGCCTGTAGAGATACCACTGCTTTGTAGTATATTGGTTCAGCGTAAGCACAGAACGTATTGTACATATTACATGGGCAAGCGTTTACTTGACGTCCTTGGTAGTTAGATTTTAAAACCAATGTCATACTCACTGTCCTGTGACAAAATACGTTCCTTTGCCTTCAATATTGGCTGCGGGAAAAATGTGAGTGAACAGACTTAATAATGTTTGCCTCCACTCAATTTCACACCAGAGTGCTTTGTCTTCAAGGGAGATGTTTAATACTTATCAAGGGTACCTGTTGGTCAGTATTAACGCCACATACAAAAAAATAATCATTTTTCAGTGTACCACTTATATGCTTGTTGCTTTATTTTAGGATTTTGTTTTGTATGCTGACATTCATATTTTCTCTGGTGCTATGACATTATAATCCGACCTTTAAAATGCCAAAATAATTTCAATAAATATATTATGAAATAAATGAATAATGAATAAACATATCTCAGGAAAATTGATTGCAGATTTTGACGAAAATATTTATGTTTGGCCCGAAAAAGTTAACAAAAATGTCTTTTAAAAGTCTAACCCTTCGCATGAAATTGAAATCTAGATGACCTCTGTATGTACGCAGAAGGCTGTTTTGCTCTTTTTCAGACACATTTAGTAAGGGCTATGGTGTGATTGTAACGCTTGACGCCTACATCGTTGCTGCTGTACTCGTAAGCAGCATCTCATTCAGTCGTGTATTGTGGTAATGCCTCTTGTAGTAAAAGCACTCCTGAAATAGGGTCCGCATTGGATATTCAAATCCTTGTCAGTTACTTTGTTATCGCCCATGACTTCTTTCCTGTACAGCAAGTTTCCCATTGTAGCTTCGGGTTGCATGCGGCGCAATACAGTAATGTCCACTTGTATCATTACGCTACCAATGAGAATTTATGACACAGCAATTGCTACTGGGGAAAAATGCCGATGAAAAGAAACAACTTTGTTAGAATCGATCGCTACGAATCTACTCTTTGTAACTCGCATAATTCAGTCAAAAACATACGCTTTGCTATTTGCAGTGTGTGGGCGCTTTAAATGTGGTTACTGTAATTAGACATTCCAATACACTGCCTAATTTCATCACACCCTTTACGTGCTTCAGCCGATTTACTAAAACACATACATTTCATTGTAAATGAAATTATACTACATCAGGATAGATTTTACTGAGTTACTATGTGTGTAAAAAAACTTTTTTCTGTTTTAATCTGATCTGGTACATGTCTTCACTTGTAATGTGTTCTTGGCTAACACTTCCCTGAACACAAATATCGATAAACGTCTTTTGGGGCAATGATTCTGGCGAGAAATGTACTTTTATCCATTCAGTGGCTTCTCTAGCATCCATTTCGAATTCCATTAGCAAACAAATGACACAAGCATTTCCTGAAATGACTGACTTTGTAACGGCATTTATCTTGAGGACTTAATTACACATCAAGGTAACGCAGCAACGACAGTGCTGTGTCAAGTTGGTTTATTGGTTTAAACTTGATGTCACATGCCTGTACAAAACAACCTAACACAGTATTGCAAACTGGAAATATCTTTACGATACCATTCAGAAAAGCAGACTATTTGTTTAACGTGAACGCAAGCTCAGCTGGATATCTGCCGAATGTAACAGCAATATTTCCAGCCATATCGTGAATACTGAATATAGTTTGAACAAGAAACCTGTAATCGATGATAATAATAACTATATAGTTTATCACATGTACAATTTAAAACTAGTTGATGACAGAAGAAGAAATCATCATTCTTCCATGGCTACGTGAAATGCTCGAATTTGATTGGTCAATCAATAAAATCAGACGGTATCAATTTTGGATTGACTGCGTTCTGATTTCACGGTGGCGCTTCACTGCGCACGTATACACCACTGCCGCCCTACTTCAGCTTGGCCACCAACATGACTAATATCAACACAACAGACGAGATGGAAATGCTGATAAAACATTGATTAAAACTCGAAAATACAATTATACGATTTCACCTCCACAATTATTGGGGAACTATCATGATTATTACCTTCTATTATAAAAATATTCAAACTCAATTACAATACACAGCCCCAAACATAGAAAAATCCCTATTTGTGCAGCAAAACGTTCGTAAACATTTACAGGCGAAACACAAAATGTACGCCACTCATACCTCATCATGTCCCGTTGCATCGTTCAAAATGTCAAAAATTGAACCACGAGAATTCCGCCTCTCTGCCACCTTCCCCGCAAGGTTGTCTTGTTCGTACACTTTGAAAAAGCTTGGCCACAAGCCAGTCCCAAATGATGAGAACAATGTTCCAAGGAATCCCATGCCAAGTTAGTCGCATGTACACAAAGCAGCACTGTCACTCTTTCGCCGCATGCCGGGGTGGAGGCATGTACTTGAAATCATGATCGACACTCGCCGGTTATAAAAATCAACAGTCTTTTTGATGAGTTACAGGTCGTAGGTCGTTCAGAAAAAGATCTATTCTTCGATTCTGCAGGGTTCAGATTCGACAGTCAGTCAAGTATTGGGGCCCAAGTATTTTCCACTGTCACTTCGAATTTCAACCTTTCGCAAAATGTAAACACTGGTTCGTCCGCCATTTCAAACTGTTGCGTAACTGTCTACTTCCAAGAAAATATGCAGGTCAGACGATTCCATTATAGTGTGGCCAGGGGGTACAGTAACACGGCACACAAAACAATAGGCTGGTTTCTGGTCGTGTGGAGTTAAGTGATTATAAAAACAAGCTCTTAGGTGTTACATTATTGCATTGAATAAACAGTAGTTTGTTTTTCTTTGGACAGAATATTTTTATGTTGCAATGTTAAAAATAAATACGAACGGCACCTACCACTTCCTTTCACAGACGAGTTCAATTCGCCTCTCGTCCCATGTCGGATTACGCAGTGTCTTCCGCAGGTCGAGGAAGTTCGATTTTAAATCGGTTATGGAGATAAACATACTGTGTTTGGGAAATTAGATGAATGTTAGATCGACTTGATAGTCTCTAAAATTTATCATATGAAACGCGAGGTTTCAAATGATAAATTTAGAGACTATCAATTCTGTGTAACATCTATCTTATTTCCAAACACAGTACGTTTAGCCCTAAATCAACAACACGATATAAGACTGGGCTATAGGTCGCCAGGAACTAAAGGTAGATCGGTAAATCACCTCACTGGAGGACCGTGGTACTACTTTCACAGTACTTTAGCTAACTGTATGGTCCCTAGCAGGATTTGCAGCATCCCCTCAGTCAGTGGCAACAATTGATGAGTTTTGCCCAAAACTAAAATAATGAATAATGAGTTTTAAATGTGGCATGCATATACATACTTCACATGATGTGGAACTTATATACCCTCTTCCGGGGACAATAATTTTACTTCAACCCCTCGAGGGTTTTTAGCCACTAATAAATCTCAGTAATTCATTAGTATTACACATTTAATTAAAATTAAAGATTACTGTGTACTTCAGCATTATGAATCAATTCAGTCTCTTTTAAAATCTAAGAATTAGATGAGAGCTGATAATGTTTAAAAGATCATTCATTATCGAACCTTGCAAATATTAATTCCTTTGTGATGGAAAATCAGTACAATCAAACAGTAAATACTTGACCGTGATTCGTTCATGACAAAGGGACAAAAAGGAGTATACTCACTTTTCAGTTAATGTAGAGTGACCAATATCACATTGTTGCAAGATTATCTCTTTAAAACCTAGACTGGCAACCTAAGTAGGTGTAACCTTAGTATAGTTTAAGGTAACATGATTCATACATTCTTAAGCGTCTCACTTCCTTTTGCATTAGATCCCGTATGTAACATCTCATGACAGTTTAATATTCACTATATAGGAAAATATGTGGTATCATTAGATGTGTTGGCCAGTGGCAAGGTTGTCGTATAATTGTAAGACTTCGGTAATAATTGCGGTGGTTGCGTAACAATTACGTCTCACGGTAAAGGGATGGGCAAGTGTGTCTATTGCGCGAAAGTGCTCCAGTCAAAGATAATACACAACACAGAAAGACAGTAATAATATGTATTAAAAATAAAAGGTCTTGGTTACAGAGGTGCAAGGTTCAGACTGCACAGTCCAGAATGAAACCTAA